TAGGGGACCATGATGGAGTTGGTGGGGATGTACCTGGACACATAAGAATGTTAAATAGAAAATGTATCTCTGCATTTTTCAGAGGAGCCAGCTAAGGTTTTAAGTAAAAAAAAAAAAAAAGCTAAAAAGACTGGCTTGCTTGCTTGTATCTCAGTGTTTTTTGGCAGTGGCAGGAGGGGAAGAGAAAAACGGTGATATTTAAGGATAGAGCATTAAGAAAAACAAATAGTTACTTTTTTATAAAATCATAAATTTGTTGTTATGACTACAAGTATTTGAGTTAAAAATATTTGTTATATAAAAATGTGATTCTTGAGTTTACGTCTCTCCAATTAACAGATTCAACCAGAAGCCAGTGATTACTTTACAGACCATCTTTCAATGCATGTTTACAAACTGCTGGAGTCCCATGAATGCTGGAGTCCCAGACTGAGCAGCAGTCCTCTAACAGAGTTGTTTGAACCCTGTAATTGAAAGGTAATGAGAAAACCAGGCTGGCTTGATGCTCTCTTGGCAGTGCTATTTTGGTTGGTTGATTTTTATTGCAGTAATTCACACACACAGATGCCACGTTTATATGTTTTTAAATTTTGATAAAGCAAAACATCTATTCATGTCTTTCCTGTACTATAGGAAAAAATACTATATTGTTCTCTATGCAACAGAGACAATAGGTGTCTCTTTTCTATGGTCTAAGTAAAAGGTTTTGTATCCTCACCAACATGGAAATTGTTGTTTCAAGAAGAACACATGGGTAGTAGCAGAACTGTTGTCTGTCTGGAAGAATATAGACTTAGGTACACTTGGCAATGGAGTAAGGAAAGGCTATGTAAAGGCCAAGTCAACAGAATAATTCTTGTGGCCTCAGTATAGGTGATAGTAGGAACAAAGCCTTCCTGAAGAAAGGAAAGAGCTTTGCAACTGCAAAGGCAGAAAGTAACCTCCCCCCAGAAAAATGAAAAAAACAAAACAAATCAAAACCAAACCCTAACAAAACAAAAAAGGAGAGGTGAGGTTTTCTCTTGCTATAGAATCATTGCCATATAGATAGCTATAGAGCAGTAGAGCTATAGCTGTTTACTCTAGTGTGAATGGCTCAGTCAAAACCAAGCATCACGGGTAGCAGAACCCTGATGAACACCCAGCATTATAAAACTGCCTTATTATTTTCCAGTGAATGATAAAGGGCTTAGATAGGACATCATTGATTATGCCTTTACCAGGAGCAAGATACCAAAACAAGAGGTGTATCTAGTTTTGGGTGCTTTACTGTAGTATTTCCAATGTTGGAGGTGACTCAGAACTCTGCATACCCAATCAACATTGATTTATGGTATTTGGAGAGTCTAAAATATGAAAAGTGATTTTTAAAACTGGAGGGGGGTGATTATTTTTTCTGTTTCACACTCAAAGGATAAATTAACATTCTGAAAACTGTTTCGTGGAGGATTCACAATTGTATAAGGTCTTAGAATGCTAAGTTTTGTAAAGCAGCTGGTGGCATGGATATGAGTCAGTTTCAAATATCATCGCCTTGGTATTTGAAGCTGCTGGTTCTTGCATTTGTATGCTTGATTAGAATGGCTGCCTGACTTGGACAGGTAGGAATTCTGCCTAACTTGTCTATTTATAGCATTTTTTAAGAGATTTTTTACCTGGGGAACTGACTGGAGAATTATCTGTTTAGGTTTGTGTGAATGTGTACTGTACATCATCATCGTATGCAGCAATCACGAGGTCAGAAACACAGGTTGTGGAAGGACAAGATGTTTCTTCCTTTTCAGGACTTTCCTAGTTTTGTTAGTTATAGTACAGAACCATTCTTTTATGTTTGCTGTATCTTTTTATTTATGTTGTCTTTAACCTCGGCCCTATTAAAAAAAAAGAAAAGAAATGGAAGTCCCTGTCCCTAGGAGCCTACACGTTTAATGTGGATACAGACAAAATGAGGCACTTCTACAACATCTCATAAAAAACATTCTCTTCTTCATTAACTGCATCACTGTTACAGACTAATACAGCAATAGACATCAAGTGATACATTTCTAATGGTACCACACATATTAAAATATATCATCTGCATCCTGTTGTGATTTTAGTGGCATAGTAGAAAAATTGAATGCAGTGGTGTCACAGACACCAGAAAGTCATCAAGCAGTGCGGTTCTGCCAGCTCTCTTATGTACTTGTGTGTGCTGGCTACACCCCTTTGCAGCTGGAGTAAGCATTAAAAGTCAAAAAAGACCACGTAGCTGCTGAGAATCAGTAATGCCTCGTTGTTTACACATAAACGTAATTCCTGAAAACGTATTAAAATCTGAAAATACGGGTCTGTCTTCTGATTCTATATCAATTTCAATTTTTAGCTTTTTTTTATTTCTCTCTGTAAAGCGTTTGTAGGAGAGGAAACACCCCCCCCCCCCCCCCCCCCCGTGCAGGAAGCTATGAACTCATTCTGTTTGTCATTTTGGGAAGGAGACCCCAGCATGTGCAAAGGACATGTTGGGTTTTTTAATTGTAATAGTAGTACCAGCATGCAAATTTTGTATCCCAGCTTTCTCTGCTTTTGGCTTTGTTCATGTCTGAGCCATTTTCAAAAGTAGTCACATTCTTCAAAACCAAATTTTAGTCTTTCTTCCCTAGCATATGGAATTTCAAGTAAAGCTCCTCTGCTGTTACTTTAGAAAAACAAATTCAGTTTCTTCATCCTTGGTCGTAACAGACCACCTGTCCTTTAAGTGTGCTGCCTTTCCCATTTGGAGAGATAGTCGGTAACATCTTTCAGCTTTGCAGCGACATCTCGTGGGCTGTTTGACCTGGGAACCTATCAGAGATGCTCTTCTAGGGTGAAGTTCTCATGTGGGTTAAGTCAAAAGTTTCATCCAGTGAGGAAGTAGGATGCCATTTGAAAACCAGTTCTTTAACTGTGTATAATTAGGTATATGGCATTGTCAACATGATTGTCCATTGTACAAAAAAAAAAAGCAAGTTAGAAATCGTTTCAGAGCTAAACAGAAAGCTGTCCTATTTTTTTTTTTTTTTTTTTTTAATATTTTAACAAACAATTGTACTATATAAAAATACATTCTTTTCCCCTCATGCTATATGGACGATCTACATTTAAAAAAACCACAATAGTTAAATCTACTGTAAAAACATTTTTTTCTGGTACAATTAATCCAAGATGTTCTGTATTAAAATTGCAGGTAAAAGCATTTCAAACAGAATATGAGTTTTTACAGTGAAACTTGTGTTTCATCCAAAATCTGAAAAGTAAATATTTACATTACCAAATTCAACATAAAACTCTCCAAGCTGCCTCACTAAGTTTTAAAGCCATGAAAAGATGTAGAAAAGTTAATGAAGAGAACTGAGGTTAATACTTGCTGAATTTAATTGAGACAAAGTGAACAGCAAACTGAAGTGAACAGCAATCCTGATAGTCCAGGATTAATATTGCTATTGTACTTCTTTTAGAAAATCTTATGGATTTATATTGAAGACTTCCAGCTTCAGGTTATAATTTTGCTGATTTTGAAGACTGCTGAGTATTCAGTAAGTAGTTCTTTATATGACAAATACCCACAGATGAGGCATAAAACATAATCCAAATTCTTGGGAAAACTCTCATATTTCACCAGATCACAGATGTAAAGGTCAGCACTTCACTTAGGAAGGGATTACTTCGGTGTCTGTCTACAACTTCAGAATATTTTGCTGCACAGCATCCCACATTTTTGCACTGGGCCTTCCTGGATTACATCAGTTAACCCTTAAACTTAACCCCCAGTAACAGTATGTGGAGATAGATGTACAGAGTCCAAAACTGTCATAACTGGTGTCCAGGGGCAGTTTTCAGTAAAAGCAGAATTAGGCTCTACTCTTTTTACAGACTTTGCTAGTTCAGAAAAGGAGTGCAACAGATGTTTGCCCTTCCTCTGAAGGCTGCAAGGTTTGGACAGTATGCTAAAATGAGCATCTTAAGTTGCTGTTGCAAGGATCTAATCACACATTATCTAGTGCACAAATATATCAAAGACATAAAATCATTTATCTCAGGCTAAAGAAAAAGAACACGTGCTCACAGTCTAAAATATGAGAGTACTCTACCTCCTTGTATGCTTACACACTCCCCGTCTAAACAGCAGAGTACCTCTTGGTTTTTAAGTGCTTGAGGCCACACAAACTAAACTAAGGGGAGAGAATCTAAAGTAGCAATATACAGCAGAAGCACAGCCTATCATCAACCCTCAATTTACAGAACTTAATTTTATCAGAACTATTTGTATATCCTTTGGAGTAAAGAAGTGTTCTTGAAAGGAGAAGAGTGGAAGTATAATGACTTCCAAAACCTAAGTGGAAGACCACTGTATGACCAAGCCCTTAAAGAGGGAACCAAGATAATTCACACAGGAATCACGATAAAATGCTGGGGATTTATTCCTAGCTAAAAACTCTATTTTGTGTTCTTGTTTGCTATGAGGTAATGAATCACTAGCCAGACATGAGGAGAAACCATATTTTTGCAGAGAAGAGGGAGCTTTCAGGCTAAAATTGATGGCCTCTTCCAAAGTGAAGAGCACTTGAGTGTGCCACCAAGTGAAGAGTTTTCCGTGGCTTGCTGATGTGAGCAGAGGGGAAAGGTGAGCTGTGGCAGTGGTTGGGGGTGGAAATGTGTGACTTTGAGCCTGCTGCCTGCAGGAACATTACTGTCACAGTTACTGGTCTTCATGGTGGAGTCCGCTGATGCTTCTTTCTAAACTCATCTCAGTGGTGCAGTCACTCACAGCAAGTTGAAACCTCAGTGATAAGAATGCCTCAGAATAATTAAAATTTGTTACACCTGTTTTTTCCTTGTCCAGGGTTTAATCCATGTTTCCTGTCTATACCCTTCCCAGGCACTTAGGCTTAGTTCTCAAATAGCAATGGAATTAACCCAAATTGCTGAGTCTAGGGTCTATTTCTCTATATTCTGCAGGTAATTCCATACTCTCCCAATGAATCCCTTACAAATTTCCTGTATAAATTTTGCTTAACAGGAGCAGCAGCAAGCTGTATGTGGAAGCTGTAACTTTTCATTGTAGTTTCTTAGCAGCCTGCAGGAACACACTGTAAGACAGCGCACTCTGAATCTCTGACAGATTTCAGTGATGACACTGGACTTCAATGAAAAATGAAAAGTATTTGTTAACCGTACTGGTTTCTTTCCAATGTGTTGCACTTGAAAGTAATTGCACCAGTATGTAGTTGCATTTTTGTGATGCCTTTCAGATACCACACTTCCTCATGCTGCACTTGCAGTTTATTTTATTCGGCCCCCATCACACAGAGGTTTCACACTGTAGCTATCTTCTCAAATGCTTTGTAACTAGAGGTTCCTGTACTATTAAAAAATGTTATGTCCTGGACTTAGCTCAACTTTTCTGGAAAGTGATCATCTGGAAGTCAGCCTGAGATCCAGCTGTGCTGCACGGATTTTCCCTGCTTTCTGAAATGATCTGTTCCACTGCTTGTGAAGTTTCTGGGTCCTGAGAGCCTGGACTATCCAGCGCATCTCCAGTGCTGTTACAGTGAAGAGGGGAGGCTATGTCAGGAGGCTGATCTGAGGGTTTGCCTGAAGCAGGTGGCAATGGCACTGGCAGAGGAAGATTCATCATGTAGAGCACATTGCCCAAACGTTGAGACACCTTTAGAGAAAAAAAGACCAATTGCAGCAATTGTTTCTTGAGATAGCATTAAAAACATTAAACATCAAGGCTGACTCATGTAGCAATGCTAGGGACATCCAGGAGATCCCCTCTCAAACCCATCTCAAATGATTATTAGTTGTTAGCAAAAGTGGAAAAAAAATCTTCCATTTTCCGTCTTTTGTGTTTTTCTAGGCCCAGGTTCTTGTGGAAGGATAATCTTGGCAATACTCAGCTTGGAAATGGCCCAGTGTGCTGGGCCTGGCAGCCAGCTTCTCTTGCTCCCTATGTGCTGTAGCACCCGAGGGACAGAGGGGAGGCAAACTGCCAGCCAGTAGTGGAGAAGCTGGTTTTAGTGAGAAGAGTGAGAGTGAGCAAAGAATTAAAGAAAAGAACCAGGCAACAAGAGAAACACGCTGAGAGTTGATGATGAAATTAAGAGCTGAAGACTTTAAACACAGAGGGACAGCCTGTCCGTGAAACATGTACAATTATATTCCCAGAAGGGCTGTAGAAACCTCTACTTGCTATATTTTAAAAGTCAGGTTGGAACAAAAGCATGTGTGTGTCAGAGCACTTCTTACCAACTGGGAAGGGGAAAATGTAGTGAAACTGAATTAATTCATCAAAAACATCTTTTCCATTTCAAACCTCAGCCTAGTGTCCACTGGTGGTGTATCCTGACTCTACTTGAAGTGTCTCTCAAACTGACAGTCCTAACCTCCCCTGATCCTGCATGCTGTTGTAACACACAGAGAAGCAAAAGCACTATGCTGGAGTGATTTTGCTTCTAATATGGTGGTTACCTTGTCAGAAAAAAAAAGTGTTTTAGTTTGGAAGAGCTTCCTCGTGCTGGCTTCTGACTCTCACATCTCTGTGACCTGCCACCTTGGCACACATTCAATGATCATACCTGAGAGCGGATTTTTAATGCTGGTCCAAGTTTTAGTCCCATTGTATCCAGGAGATGTTCCTCTGTTAGCAGTGGGAGGGTTTCTCCATCAATAGCGTGGTCTTTAAATATCTTGTGAAATGATAAAACACATCATGGTGTGCTAAAACAGACTTCACTGGTTAGTTTTTATGCTTATTCCTGAGGCACAGGCAATAAAAGGAGGAAATAATAATTTTACTGTTTTGTCTTTGTATTATCTCCTAGCTGCAGCATGAGGTGTCTTGTTCAGGCATGTGGGTATCAGCACATTTGCCTGTAGTTTATCTACTTGTTCTTGGCAAGTGAGAACTTTGTAATGTTTCAGTGTTACTTAGTTCTTTTTGTTTGTTCTTTTTTTGTGGGTTTTTATGTAAGCAGCCTATTACTGATGAAAGAATAGTGTTGATCCTGTTGAGGCTTTACAACATGCAAGATTTCAGTCTCTGTGCTTGCATTTCTAATGATATTTCATTTTTCAAATGGAATGATGCTTATAAGAACGCAGGGGTGGTAGGTGGGTTATACCAATATCCAAGAATGCAAAATTCCCTTAATCTGCATAAAAATTGTGCAGGGCATGTGGAGTGAAAAAAATTAAGATATTTTCCTTATACTACTGGTTTGCTGCTGGTCCTCCTGGTATCTTTCATAACCAATGACTCCCAAGTGCAGCAGAAGTGCATATAACCTCAGATCATGGACTGGTTTCCCCTTTAAGAAGTAACTTCATATGCTGAAGCACAGTGAAAACTATTAATGTTTGTAAGTCTGTGAGAACTAGTTAACCTCTAGCATTTACATTTGTTTGATGACCTTTAAATCTAGAAGCTCCTAAAGACCTGAAAATGAGATGAATGTTTATAATCACCTGGGCATAATCTGAACAGCCAGGGAGGCTAATGATGAAGTTGTAAACATCATCAACAGTCCACTTGCGAATGTCTTCAGTTGAAGAAATGTCTTCTCCATTCAGGATCAGGCCATGTGCTCCTTTGAGGGGGGAACAAAAATGTTATGTTTCTGGAACTTTGCTGGCAAATCAATAGGAAACAACTGTTAAGGTGAGAATTTTTTTACACTTCTCCAGAACCTGATGAATTAACTGCAGTGTGTAGTCACAGACAGATAACAGTTTATAGAGTTGGGCTTAGCAGTATGAGGTTTATGGTTGGACTCAATGATCTTAAAGGTCTTTACCAACCTAAATGATTCTATGATTCTATATTTTTCAGTGATACAGTATGTCTTTGGCAGATCATGGTGGACAAACAGCTCAGCCTGTTGTCATTTTAGGTAATACAGAGTTTTGCAAGGCACTGGTGTATTTAACAAGAGCTGCAAAGCTTTAGAAACAATGTTTCTTACGTAGTGGCTGAGAGGCCCCTGTCTTATGCTGTTCTTGGGGAGGTCTAAATCTCGGAGCTAAATTTGTTCCTAAATGAGTGTGATTTCTAAGGGATTCCTTGTCCTGTTTGACAAGCACAGGGATTATGATTAGTATATTGTGTGCTGCTACATTTCTCCCTGATCACCAGAAGAAGAAAGAATGTAACATGCTAAACAGAATTGCAGAGAACCTCAAAGTGCTGCTAATTTAATGGCTTAGGGGTGGCAAGTGTGTTCTCCCAGGGACTGAGATAAACTCAGGATGACATCCTGCAGCTATATAGTGTGTGGCACAGAGAACTGAAACAGTTAGGAGGCTGCTTTGTGACTTTTGCTGTGCAACTGCATTATCCTGGAAGGAAAAGCACTGCTACCTAGAATACTGAAACCTCCATTGTGCCAGCAAGCAGCAGGGAAGACCACCTTTGCTGACTCGGATTTACCAAGTTATTCCTATTTGCTGCATATGAACTCTACATTCAGTTGCTATGACTCTATCATACAAAAACTTCGCTTAAAACAGAGGGAGGAAATAAGAGAGCAAATCAATAAAAATAAATTATATCAGCATGCCACCCTAACTGTACTCTGCACACTTGACAAACCTGAGGGTAGCAGTGCATTGCTTGGTACTGGAAATCCATATGGTAATGCTGAGAATGGGATTGCAGAAGGGTACATGAACTTGTCATCAAAAGTAGTACAGGAGCTATTAGATTCTTTCTCATTTGTATTGTTGCAGCTGTTGGTTTCAGTAGAAATTTCATGAGTAGCAGAGTTTTTTCTCAAGCTTTGTTCAAACTCTTTACAGTTTTTAGCAGCTGCAGATGGCTCAGTCTGGTTTTTGTTTTGTTCATGTTTGTTTGGTGTCTCCACCTCTGCTTCTTTCTTGTCTTCTTTCTCATCATCCACTGCAGCTGCAGCAGGGTCTGTAGTTTTGTCATCAGCTTGGTTCTTTGTGCCATTGGCACTACACTCTGCAGTTTTGTGATTTCCAGCTCTTCTCCCTGGTCGACGTCCCCTCTCCCTTTGCAAAGTGGTGACTGGAGGGTATGGGCTGGTTGCCATTAGCATAGTGTTGCCATGAATTTCATCAAGGGTGGTACGATGAACATATAAGTCACTGGGGAGATGGCCTTCAGGCAGTCTGTGCCTGCCACGGAAAGCAATGGGACTAGCTGGCATCCCATGGTAAAGGAAAGGTGCTTCCAGGCCCAGTAGTCCTTTCCGATGAGCTTTCTCCATTTCTTTTTGCTGAAAAATAGCACTCATCTCCATTTCCATTCTAAGAGACACACAGAGCACAAGCAGTTAGGGCAGCTCAGTTCCTTCATCACCTCTGTTTACAGTAACAGATTAAAACTCAGATAATTGAATAGGCAAGAGTACTGCTTGTCTTCTCTCTCTCCCCTATGTCGCTATGTGTGAGAGAACACAAACTGCAGATGGAATGCAAACCTGGCTATATTTATTGTGCTGACAGATACATAAACTAAAAGGAAGAGAAAATACATCTTCCATGTGATGCCTCTAGGTAATAGTTCAGACAAAAAAAAAAAAAGTAGTTTGTATATTGGCAATCCAGGCATTATTACAGTGATTATGCTCATTTGGGATTTGGAAAATTGTCTCCAGGGTCATAAGACTAAAGAAAATAAGTTATTTACATTACCAATCAAAAGTGTACAGAAAACTGCAAAACAGCAGTGATACTGTGATAAAGAACTAGAATTACATTATCTATGGAACCTGTGCATGCATTCAGAGTAAGCTAATGTAAATCTCTTTGAGTAACTCTCAATAGCGCATGGCACCTGAGCATGAAAGAGTGAGGTCCTGGTGGTAAGTGTTCAACTGCTTTCTGTTCTGGTGGATAAAGCCAGTGCTCCATGGTCTGTGACAGCTTCCTGCCCCTGGCATTGTGGTTAGGAGGGCTTACCAGTGGGACACGGAGAATACAAGGAGTAGTATGTGCCTCTGTTGTACCAACCTTTGCTGTCATCAGCTTTCTCGGGAGCCAACCTAGTGAGCAAACAGAAAGCTGTAGCTCCTACTGTAGCTCTTAACTGCAATGAGGGTAATAGGTCAGAGAGAATCTGACTTTTAGGAGACTTCTCATTAATGTAAAATTGTCAGGAAAATAGTTGGGTCAAAAGGTATCTATTCAGACTGTTGTGACAAAAAGGAGTTAGTTGATCATAACACTAGGGGGGTTTTCTCTGCCCTCTTTTCATCTTTACAACAACCTCCATATTATTATTTTTCTGCTTTCAGAGATGCAATGAAAGTATTTTGTCTATGTACCATGTCCTTGTACATCTTGCCCAATTGTTGTTACTTACACACAGCTCTTGAGGTGGAGATAAACAGCAAAAAGCCTTACATTCGTGACTACTCCTCCAGATAAGATAGTTTGCTTCTCTGAGGACTGGTAGATGGGGGATCACTGAGCATCGGTATGAGGCAGAGTCCCTTGGAGAACAAGGATTTGGGACCAGGTGCTCAGCAGTACAGCTGCCACAAGTACAGCAGATTGTTTGCCAACACCTGATTTCTAGAAAGCGTGAGAGGAGCAAGTGCAGCTGTAAAAGTAGTGTGTGCAGTAGAAAGCAGCATAAAGCTAATGCAGTTGTCAGGACAACAAAAGGCTGGGGTTAAGGGTTATCTTATGGATATAGGCTAAGCTTTTTTCTGTTGGGTTCTCTTGGGTTTGGTGGACTGCAGGAAGAGCCTGAAGAGGTAGGATTAGCTCTGATGTGGCTGAGGGTGTATGTGATGACCATGCTTGCTGCTAGCTATTTTACTTGTGTTTCTGAGGGGTTTTGCCATATGACAAGAGCTGTATGAAATGCATCATTGATGCAGATCTTGCGCTTGAAAGTAACTGAGCTTTGCTGACTGAAGATCTCAAAACACTTCTGTCACAATTCTCTGGAGATGCCTGCTGAGAATTTATCTGTTCTTTGATCTTAGTGTATCAGGGGCACTGCCACTCAGTTCTGTGCTGCAGCCTAGTGCAGGAGTGGTTGAGGTTAGAGTTTGGCTATGAAAATGGTGTGGCTGTGAGGGTGGCAGTGGTGGTTACTTAGCCAGTTACTGATTACCCCAAAACTGGTACAAATAATTGGACTTTATAGTCACCCTGACATTCAGACTGGTTGAACTTGGAAAGCTGTCCACCCTGGTAGGGTGGAGACACAGCTAATCATGCCAAGGGCCCAGCTGGAAAGGCTTAAAATGTTGTGTGCTGTCACACACAGCTGTGATGTTTTAATTTTTTGTGACTTTTTGTAACTTCAGATTGTTTGGATCCAGAGTTCAAGGACTAGGGCTGAAGTTCGTAGCTTCTTTGTGTCTTTAATTAAGCTGGGGGGGTTGTTTTCTATATAATTTTAAGGCTAAAAGCAGAATGGGGGCAAGCAAAAAGTTAAGTAGCTTCATATGTTAAGAGGTAATCAAGGTTCCTCTGCTTCCCTGGGTGACTTGGAAAAAGTATCTCAATCACTGTAAATAAAAAAAACACAAAAAGTCTGTGAAATAACAATTTCCACCTGCCTTTGCTGCCCTAATCCTGGCATGTACCTCAAAACAAAGTTTACTATTGATTACCTGGCAATATTTTGCTTTTGAACCAGTTCCTGTCTCCTGGCCACAGCTTCCATGGATTCTGGTTGCAGAAAGCTATATCCTTAAAGGGAAGAGAAGAAAAAAAGAAATCTCTAAAATTCACTTGTTTCTTAAAGCAAATGCACAAATCCCAAAGCAATACTGAGACTCTTAACTGTGTGCTTCACTAGGAAGCTGATATGACTTCAGGCTAAGTTCTATTTGTGTTCATTGCTTTGGAATATGTAGTAAAAACACGTAGTCCAGCATCAGCTGTCTGCAGGATCAGACCTGTAGTTACTTGTTATTATCCATGAAGAGGAGAGCAGGGTGACTTTATTTGGTGCCTTATGTCTTTGAAGTACATACAGCTGCTCAGAAACTAATAAGCAACAGTTAAGCAAACCTGCTCTTCAAAACTGTTTTCAGTCTAGGTGCCATGTAATTTTACATTATACTTCCTCTTGAGGGAATCTCTTATTTGAGATTCACAGTACAGGGGGGAAGCTGAAGCCTGAATTTCTTGTTTATGGATCTATGTGGCATTGAGAGTTTATTCCCTTATCTCAAAGAAGGAATCTTAAGATAGTAAGGTTCACCTTTGTATAAAGTGATACATAAATTTATGCACAACATATGTGCCACCGTTGTGTTGCCACACTGTGGTATCAGTCTTTCCCTTAGAGCTGTGCCCTGTAATTTTGAGCCTTTATTAAAAGGACCTGTAGTTGCCCTACACGAGTAAAATGCCATGTTACAATATGATTAAAGTAAGGTAGTCTTAAAGCAGCCAATGCTCATTCATGAGCAAGAGTTAAATGTAGCAAAAAAAAAGTGTTGATTGGACTAATTTATTTAGTGACAGTGTTCTGTTTGAGTGTGAGAATGCTTGGAAAATACAAAAAGAAAATGGGAGAACAAAAATGTGCAAATGCTTTTGAAAACAGTGCATTTAACAAAAGTTAAAATGGATGTGTTTAGACTTAAGCTGGCACAGTTTAGAATCTCTGGTAGGCAGACTGCCTCTTCTCAGTGAGACTGTTTTTCCCAAAGAAAACAAACTGTTATTGACACTACCAACAAACCTCTGAAAAAACAGTAGGTGGAGTTTGCTTTCTCATTTACAGGCTATCGCTTTTCAGGGTGCAGACAATGCTTCGTTACCTGGGGGTGGGTAAACCCGGTTGGACAGTATGTTTGGCATGTTTGCATGCTGTGGGACCGTGGGCCCGAGGTGGGATGCTATATGGATTTGTCTTGGGTCAGCCGATGCCATCATTTCAGCTGAAGGTAACAGATCTCTGAGAGGAAAAAAACCAAATGCATTCAGATACACAATGGAGATGGTTTAGTTAAGAATAATCTAGCATGTTTATATACGCAGATGCAGCACGGTTATTCTTTAACTGCAGTATTACAATAGGGAAATGTTGCAAAGTACCTGTCAACGAGCCGAGGCTCAAACTGGGAGGGAATCGCCTGCATTCTCGGCTGCCCTGCACCCATCAGCTGAGGGTTTACCGCCATCAGCTGGTTGCGCATGAGCATCTCCTGTCGCTGCCGCAGTTCTGACAGAAAGCACATACCGTTCTGTTGTCAGTGTAGTGAAAGTGATTCTGTCTGCAGTATAACTGTACTTGAAAAAATACGGGTGTTTCCTCAAGCATTTTAGTGCGAGTTAGCAAATCACACTCTTTTTTTAAATAACAGCAACTAAAAACCTATGTTTCCAGTGCCATTGTAACCACTTTGTTTAACTAATGTATATTTATACAATCAAGCTGCAGTAAAAATAACAGGATGTGCGCAGCCAAGTGTTCAAAAGGACAATTTACAATTAACAACAATTCATTAATGATATGATACAGAAGAGAATAGCCATGAATGTTAATTTCTCTGCTGGAGAGTTTTCGTTTCTAAAACAGTTTTAGAAAAAAATTATTAGCTGGAACCTGCCTTGTTCAGCATCTCTAAGAAAAAGGAGCCCACAGTGGTGACCAAGAGCATCATAACATCCAGCTATGGCTTTTGTTTCTGAGTTCCTGTGTGACCTTGACTCCTCTTCCAGATGCTTAGCATCACATGATCAAATTCCGAATGCCAAGAATCCCCTGTGTTAGCTTTTAATTACCTTTAAGAGAAATGTTTCTCCAGTTACTCCTAAGATAAATTTGAAATACCTTTTAAAGGCATTAAACTTATTGCTGGCTGTTTCTTGTGCATTGTACAGATATTAGCAATCCTATAAACCAGTGTGCAGCTAGGTTTCTTCCTGCCTACCTCCTGCCGCCATGCCACTTGCTAACCGGTATAAGTGCTTTTCTTCTAGTGTTCCTTGTTCTCCCAGGATAGACATTTTTCTCATGTGATCTCGTGGAGTCATTCTGCAAGGAGACAGCAGCAGCTTTTCTGTTGTAAAGAACTGAATCAGCAGGTCCAAAGAAAAGAATAAAACATTAGAAAATGTAAGAAACAGAGCAGATTATGTAAGTTATTTCTCAGAGGAGCAGGCAGTCCTTCTGCCAGTCACAGCTGTACCCTTTAATGCTTGTGGATTGTATGGATACCATATAGAAACTTTCTATTTTTGGGACAATGCAAATGTTGCCCTTATTTATGCTGAGTTGTTCAGTGTCCTTGAGTCTTACTATGCAAGAAAAGTCAGGATGTTGTGAAATACCAGCTGCTCAAAAGGACATGAGTAAGACAGAGTTTTGCCTGCAGCCCCTGGTGTATCCCAGCAGCCCTGAGAACAGTGGCAGGTATTACACTTAGGAAGGCAGGTATCTTCAGTTTTAATTTAGGAATTGTGATACTTGGTATCCCTATCTACTATAAACTAAATGAAACAGCTGGAAAGAAATGGTAGAAATAAGCTGTTCTAAATGACATCAGCCCCTTAAGACTGGTAGGCTCAGATTAATTGCCCATATATGTACAGGTAAATAAAGCCAGATGAAGAGTAGAAATCTAGACTAAAAATTAATACACTACAGATGCAGAACTGAATAGCTATGCTATCATTAAGGTGGATAGCATGGACATTTCTAAGTTTGTCCAGAGAGGAAGGTGACTAGATTACAAATGATCCTGATACCAGGGTAATGAATAACCACAGTATAACCACCCTACTCAGGATTTTGACCTACAGCAGGATTATTTCTGCAGATAGAGGAAATAAGTCCTGTAACACTCAGCCTGGATGTTAAAAAGCTATCCTGTGAAGGATGCTTTGAGGGGGTTGGCAGAGGGAGCAGGCTAGATGTAAAGGTAATAGGCATCTGTACATTGCTTTCAAATTGGATTTGCACAGCAAATGATTGATTAATTTTATATTTTTTTTTCTTCAAATTAAATTGAAATTAAGGGGGTGAATTTTCTCCCACATTAGACCTAATGAAATGAATTCTGTCTTCTGAAACAAGGAAGATGTAATGCTTAAGTGTTCTCATCTTGCAGGTAGGGAGTTACAGCTCATAAATTCATCTGGCATATGGTATAGATAAGTGAGGGACACCTTAGGAATGCTAAGAGAAATCCAGACCCTACCAAAGCCACTGACAAATTCCCTGATAGCATCTACCTTCCATTTCAGCTGAGTGCTGACAACTGCTGAATTCACGTTTAATAATTACTCCACAAAGATGTGATCTCTGAAGCACAGAAGGCTAAAATCACCCAGAGCTTTGGATGGTTTGGCTTTTCATGGCTTACTTGCCTAGTCTGTCTTTAGCATGTCATGATGACACTATTGCAGTAAAATGCCAGCCCTCCCTGAGAGCTCTGACTACCTTTTGCTCAGGTCTTTCTTATGTATTTTCACATTTATGCCAAACTTGCTTACTTTTCAGGCCAAAACATATTTTAATTTTTACACTATCCTGTCCTGCTTCTAGGCTTACTAATTCAATGTCTTGATTAATGGCTTTGGCATGATAAAATCCAGCTGTGGCACCAGTTGTATGTATGTGACTACTGCAGAGTCAGTGGTATTGTACAAGTACCAATAAGATTAAACACAGCTTGAGATGTTAACACTGTTATGAGTACAAGACAGATCCAATTGCCAAGCAGTTTGTTTGCCTTTCAATCAGCTGCCTAGTATGCAGAAGTTCCTTAGAAATAATAAGCAGGAATAACCAGGATTCCCTTTTTAACAGCCAGTCCTTCTCCAAAACAGAGCTGAACTTTAAAAACTGTTTATTATCCAAAATGTGATGTAAGCCAAGTCCTGCATTTTGTTACCCAAGCCATTTATAGATTAGAATAATCATTATATCTCCTTTTATTGCCTTTGACCTATGGATGAGTTACTAAATATTTTATGGGAAAGCTATCAGTCTAATTCACATGCTTCAGGAATTTGCCATTTCCTTGGTATGGTGTGGCTATTTGGTCTCAGTCTTAAAATGAGCTTTCCAAAAGGCAGACAAGTTAGTAATTTCAGCTGTTCTGACTGAGAGCAGAGGCTATACTTGGACCACATTACTGGTGTTCCCTCAAAATAAAAAAATTCTTTACATTTGTAAGTGCTAGATTATATGTTGACCAAGATTCAGGTCTTCCTGGAAACAGATACGCCTGTCAAGTCCATTAACAGCAAGCACTGTGTACTTTGTTCTTGACATATGTACCTGAACATGTGCTGCTGGGTGTGTTTCCATTTGCTTTTTTTTTTTAGGATACTTTAGACTTAAAGCGGTTTAGGATGCTGGGTGCTTCATGAAGAGCATTTGAGCTGCCAAAGTGCTCCTGAGCTGCTAAAGCATTTTAAAGCTCAGTACTAAAGCGATTTAGTGCTGAACTAAACTTTACAGCAGCTCAAAAAATAGATAGCAATTGGGATGATAGTACTTGACCTACCATGTTGGTCCACTGAGCCATTTAGGTGGTTTGGCTGTGTATTAAATCCTTTGGGAAGCAAAGCTACAATTTAAAAACTTCATGCTAACCACCTTACAGCCTCGTCTTTCCTGGTGCCCCTGACTACAGAATATTAAGGTGCAAAGCAACCAGCAGAGGTCCAGATAGACGTTATGAGGAAAAAAAAAACCCCAGGTTTTAGCCATTTTATTCTAGTAAATTATAATATAAATAAATAATAATAGTAATAATAATAATTTGAAAGGCTGTATTAACACTAACAAAATTTTGTCTGTCAGATGCCTGACAAGCTGTACCACTTTTGCTTTTTAGAAACTGCTAGAATGCTTCAATCCCCTGTTTAATCACAGTTGTGAATACACTTTAGTCTGGGGAAGCTGTCCCTGTGTGAGGGAAAAAGACACACAAGTAAAAGATACTTGTCTTTATTAGGCCTACTTAGAACTTCTACAGTCCACCCTGAAATCACACCTGTGAGTCAAATTATTTGATACAACTTTAAAGTATAGAATCATGGAAAACCTTGTGGGAAAAGACCTATCTATTCTGACCCAAAACCACAACCTCCACGTGGGATCTTTTATACACTGCCTGTTCTGGCAGGTATCTATCAATAACCAAGCAGCAGTAACTGCGGTTAGAAACCAGTGGCACCAGCATCACTGTATACTTCATGCAGTTCCCAAAACAAGTCTGGATTTTGTGTTGGATGTCATGCTATACTGTCTGTTGATAGGTAGTCTCTCACATAGCCTCTTTTTATAGCTGAAGGGGCAACTATTTAAGAACTGTCTTAAAATTTTTCTTTCAAAAAGCAGGGTTTTATTTTAAATGCTAGCATTTTCACTTAATGTAGTGTACTGAATACGGCAGCATCCCCTGAAGCTGAGCCATATTTATTGACAAATTATTGTCCATTAGGTGACCAAGATTCACAGAGCATCACCTCAGGCAACATGCATCACTTCAGGCAACATGCATCATGTAAGCAACTTATCTTTACAAAAGTAGTCTAGGTGCTCTTTTAGTTTGACACAGGGAAGATAAAGTATTGAACAAATCATGGAACAATACATCGTGGAAGTTCACTGGTGTCTTCTTCCACTAAAGCTGTAGCTTACTGCTTCCACTGACCCAGTTTTTTGAACCCTTGCGAGCCAGAAGGAAGGTTTGATTCCTTAATGAGGTTTTCACTGAATTGCTTTGTGACATCATTCTGTTTTTTTCATTGGTGTGCCAGTCAATCCTATCTCACTTATGCTGGATTTCTTCTCAGATACATAAAAATAACTCTGGTATTTGTGGTAAAAATGTTGAGATGCTGTTTCCACTAGAATTCTAGTCTGCTTTCGTAAGCTGAATGGCAAAATATCAGTATAGTTTAAATTTAACTTGAAGGACACATGTTGTATGTTGGTTATCTGTATTAAATTACTTATTTCCCTGAGTCTTCTGTTCAGGGAAGTGTTGAATTGATCAGGTAGGATAAACAGTTAGCTTAATAAGCTAATATACAGACTTGTATGTCACCCTGTGTCAGGAGATACTGAACTTGATGGATCTATGTTATTCCATTTGGAAAACCACCCTTTTTGGTTACTTAGCTGGGGTTCTGACTTGCAGGTGAAATTTAGGGTGCTTAAGGTTCATATTATTTTCATAACTAGTATATTAGAAACCAATATCAGCAAAAAAAAAAAATCTCTGAGGGAACAGGGAAAGTACACTTCTGATACATGTATAAGCTGGGATTTGTGAGTAGCTCAAAATCTGGCATCAGGCTTCATATAAATTCATACACACCAGCTGTCTAGTATTACATTCATATATGGCTCTTCTCTGATCCTATTGCACAAATCCTGGCTGTACAGCACATTACAGGGATGAAGACAAGTTAATCTCTACCTTTAGAGTCTTACCCTTAGCAAACCCTACTTGGCAGCAGGCAGAACCACTCACCCAGTACTAATTCTGTCTCAATTTATTAGATGAGAAAGGACAAGACACGAACTTCATGAACCAGAAGCATTTGCAAATCTAATCATGCTATATGTGGTTTCAAAATGTCTGCATCTACAGTCTGTATACCTACATTATTAATTTCATTGGCAAAATATAGTATAGTCCTGTGTATAATACAGACTTGGAAGACCTTTTTTGAGTTTTTTTTGTTGTTTTGGTTTTGTTGTTTTTTTTTAGTTAAATACATTAAGATTTCATTAGCTAATACTTTTATTTACATCAAACACACAGAATTAGCCTTTTTTAAAAGCAATGTTTAGCATACCTTTGTAGTGGCTCCACAGACTCTTTGAGAGAAGCTGAGTATTGTTGAAAATGTTCAGGTAAATCTGTGTCAGAGAAATCAATTAAATATTTAATACAAACATGTATACATGCTTATGAGTGAACTATGTAAATAAACTCGTACATCGTCTCATTTTCATTTCCATTGGCTCCCTTTTTAGAAAACCTCTCCTGATTACCTGAGAAATGAGATGCTGTTTTAAAAATTAAATAAATATTCCAATATTATGAATAATCTAATGTTATTAACTGTAGTATTAAAGGGGTTTGGCCTTAATCTGTGCTAAGAGTCATAGAGCTAGAGATTGTACTTATTCAAGAACCCACAGTCAGCAAAATAAATGACTTTGGAAAGCAAGAAGGCAGTAATACCAACATTATGTCATAAGGAGGGAATGAAATATGTCTTCTTAATTGGGGTAAGGTACCACAGGAGAGGCTGTAGGGCTAAATTCTAATCCTAGATACGTGGGCACAGACTGCTCAGAGACTGAGATTAGAGTGTAATCCTAAAACTGGATTGAGAACGATATGTTCCTTAAAGAAAGGAAAATAACTATATTTATACTGTGTGTGTCAGCCAGTCGCATTTGCATTGCGTGCCTTTACACTGACATGAAGACATGGATGTTTCACCATTTCTGAGCTAGTTAATTGGTAAGATGGCAAGCAGCAAGTCACTTGTGTTTTTTTAAACAGACTGGCCTCAAGAAGAAATCAAGTCAAACCTTCAGGAATAAAATTAGGTTCATAATAATTTCTCTTGTTCCCACTGGAATGGCTGGGGGAAGGGGAAGCTGTTATGCCTGTGTGCCACTAAGGCAATAGTCAGTGTATAACCAAAGGTGGAGCTGCATTGTGCTGGGCACAAATGCACAGCAAGAGGTGAAACAGACAGATGGTGAAGGAAAAAGTAGCAGTCCTGCCATTTGATATGGCATTGGAGACATATAGATACAGGACAGTAAGCAGCTGAGGTGGGAACTGCTTAGCAGTTCTTGCTCTCAGGCACCCAGGACTGGTTTCTGCAGAACCACGCTGCTAATACTATTCATTCATATTTGTGGCAGCATCCAAAGACTCCAGCTGAGATCACAGTGAATGCTTTAACTGTGCCTTTTCAAAAACTGAGTAAAATAACTAAGCAAACCCTAATGAAAATAGTGCTTGTAGCAGAGAAAGTGTGTGCATGCATACATACCTGTGTATAACATTGTACACCACTGTGTCCTGGCAAACTGGTGCATGGAGAAGCTGTTTACAAGGGATGGGTCTCTGTTATATTGGTTATATACAGAGAGAGAAAAGCATGATGTAATTTGTTTTCCTTGTGGATTTATTTCATAATTATGGCTGACATTGGAAATGTTATCCTCTTATCTTTGATTCTTCTAGAAGTCCAAAGATTGCAAAATGTAGCCTAAGTGGAATCAGTAAAACTAAACTCTGTATTTTTAACTTTTTAGTGTTTTTTTCTTTTAAAGCTTAAAAAAGTTTGTTGGTCTTCTCAAATACTGGAAATACAATTCTTGGGATGGAAAGCTCTCTGGCAATTGGAGAGCAAAGCTCCTATTTGCATATGAAAAACGCAGTTGAATTTTAGTGAGATTCATGTGTCACTTTAACATGAAATACTAGTGCAAATGACAGCACTCCCAGTGCCAAAATAAACCAGGTAGTGGAAAGAGGAACAGGTTTTAGGAGGGCTACCTAAAACTATTTTGATTTAACAACTCTTTAACTTCACTGGCTAAGAGTTTGAATCTAGAAAATACGTAGGGAATCCTCAGTGCTTACCCTCTTCAGTAAGGATGTTAAATGTTGCGGCAGTATCCCTTGGACTTCTCAAAATCCTCTGTGTCTTATGCCACTAAAGTAAAACCAGATGGTGAGGGTTTTTATCATTAATAATTTCAGGTTAGCTTTCTTTATTACAAAGCAAAAGACATTACACATTCATCTTAAAAAATATTTGCAGGTATGTTAAAATATGTCACAGATGTGAGATACTAAACCCACTCTTATTTTCCAAACTCATATATGAAGTCACAAGTTTTAATACAAACTTCTTCCCCCTGAGATTAACATGTGAAATTGTACACCTGATCCTGTAAACAGTCTTGGAAATCGGCATCTCATCACTCTTAGAACAGACTGAACATTTTCACCTCCAGTTTGAAGGATCAGACCTACTTGAGTTAGGATTGCTCACCTCTCTCTCTTTCTCTATTTCCGTATCTCTGGGGCACCAGGGAGACATGGAAATTCACATATCCTGTAGCTGAGGAACTTGACATTTTAGCTCTGAAGGCAATATAATAGTGCCCAAGCCTTTGTCAGTCTACAGTTGATTCCACCCACATATTCAGATAATAACAAGATGTAAGGAACCCTCATCACGGTATGACAATAGTTTTACAAAATATACCACATTGCGTGCATTGGTGTCCCACAAAGCTGCCAGCACTGGGGTTTATTACAGTGGCTGAGCACACCAGCAAAATTTTGGCTAGGTAAATCTACATCAGACTGAACCAGTCAGATATATCTGTGTGATGACAGCCTCAATTAATTCTGATTGCACGCTGTTTCAGGAAATCCACCACCCAAGAAGTATCTGTAAATATTGAAGGTTTTCTGTTGTACTTTAAAAAGATAATTAGCAGAAAGATTAAGCTGTGTGTATTAACAACCAGTTACAAGCCAATGAGATATTTGTGCATAGACATTAAACAACTCAATCTGTATTAAAAGTCTTCTAGAAAAATACTATGTAATGACAAGCTTTCCCAAAGTAAAATCCTTCATAGATCTTTAAATGTTTCTAAAATGGTCACGTTTATGTCATAAAAATTAAAATGTTTGCACCAGAATATGCTGGATTCTTTACCTGTAAGAGTACATCTGCTGAAAACTCAGAACATAGTTAATCACATACTTTGCTTTTCCTGTATCACCTCTGCCTATTCCTAACTTTACTCTCTGCAGTCCAGTGCTGCTCTTAATGAAAAGCTGCCTTGTTTCTAACATGAGATAAGTACTTCCTATCAAAATCAGAAAAATCATACACCTCTTGGTATTGCCTGCCTGATATTGCATCACTATTTACATTGAAAACTAGCACACTTGATTTTTATTTCATGTATACTTACATCTATTGTGAAGACCTTAGTTTTGGGTAAAACGAAGACACCATGAACATCCAAGAGTGTGTGCTTTCTCTATAAGTCTTCCTTTCAAGCTGCTTCAGTAACGTGATTGGCAGCCTTTAAAACACATCAAGATTAACATGTCAAAAACTGCCTTAACTAACGCTGACTTTACTTTAAATACAAATTGAACTTATCTTGATTAGCCCTCATCCCTGCTTCTAAGCCCTTCCCACTCTGACATCACAAGCTCTTCTCCAATGCCATCCCCTAACCAGGCTGTAAAAACATAATTACAAGAAGAGCACTACACTGATCTGATAAACCTATTTCACATTTAACCTGCTAAGCTGTTGTTAGCTTTTAAGATGCTTGATGCATTCACTAAAAATCTTCCTGTTCCAACAAGAAATAGGAGAGAAGGTTAACAATTGCCCAGTTCTCACACATTGTGTTATATACTCATGCTGGTTTTTCGAAAGAGTATACTTCTGACTGTTGGCAAGCAGTTACCCCAGAATTGTGTTATCCCAGTACTGTGTATCCGATTGGATTGGGGGGAACTAGAAGATGGAAATCCTGTTAAGCATATTGTGAGGCTAACACAGGGATCAGTTGGTTATACTGCTCAAGCCGGCAGTTTACTCTTTAATTCTCACTGTCAGTGAGTGAGCTCTCAGATCGAATGCCTTGTAAATGGCAAACTTTAAAATGTCAGGGAGTGGTTAGTTTCTTCTAATATCCATGTCAGCTGATGGGATGTCAGGGTTGATGTTTGATAATCCCTTATTCACCTGACTAAAGTTCATCAGGTGCTTGCTGCAGCAAAAAAAAATTGCCCAAAGTCATCTCGCAAATGCTAACACAATGCCTAAACCTGGAGTGAATAGACTCATTCCTATTGAGAATCGCTCTCAGGGCAATATTATTGTTAGTAAAGGGATATAGCAATTCTGCTATAGTTCAGCATATCTGTACAGAAAACAAACTTTTTAATGTAACACAAAATGCATATATAGTGTGACAGCTTTTAAATGTGGGATTTTATTATTTTTTTTAAAAGTGTCTGCAACACTGAATATTTATGTTGTAAATGCTATAGTGGTTATTTTGTTGCTGTCTGGATCTTCTTTATAAACAAGAAAATCACACCCAGAATCATTGTTAAAAGAAAAAAAATACTAAGTTTTAAAAATAATTTTAAGACTTCCTTTAAAAGTATAGATACCAGTTAAAATAACCTGAGACTAGTTTTTATGTGGTTGTCCAAATCTTTGCACATGCAGGCAGACACGGAATCAAAGGAGAAGGAGTATTCTAGGCTTGAAGATAACTTTCAGCTTGTGTTCAATCCACTCAGTCTGTAACTGCATACCAAAGCCTGTGACGGGAAATGTAATGAGTAGATAGAGTCTGGAACAAAGTTCCTCTGCTGGGATTTTTCAAGCTTCTCTGGGTGAGGCTGAAGTAAATGTAAGATACGGTATTGCCCAAATAAATTACAAGTCTTGCATCAGCATCTATTTTTCATCAGATGTTCTAGTCCATGTGAATCACATTTCAGGAAAAACACAAAAAGTTTAAACCAGGAAAAATTACTTCCTGAGGTAGAAACAAACCCAGCAATATAATAAGGACATACATGTATTTTTACCTTGTTTACCTAGTGAGGGAAGTTTGTAAGGAGTACACTAATTTGCAAGACCCCTGGCATCTAGCTTTTGGTTTCTGGCATGAAAGCAGGATTGCTGTGTGCTGTGGTGAAGTGTGACAACCACAATTCATAAAGATGCTTTAATGGTCCCTCTCCAGGGAAGATCTAGTTGTTCTTGACTGGCTTCGCAGAAATACACCAGGCAGGGGTGCGGGCAGTGGCCTGTGTGTCTCTCTGCAGTCCTGATTCTGCCAGTCATAGTCACCAACAGGGAAAAATAGCAAAGCAGCAAAGGAGGGAGAGAGAGGGACATAGGAATGAGTTACCAATAGAACAAAGTGATGTAGAGTATGTCAAATTGATTTGGGCCTTGGTCTGTCAATTAGTATCACTGTTGGCTAAGATGGTTTAGGGCAATGTAGTCCCACTTTATCCCCTTTGCAGAGAGGAATGTGAGAGTAGCCTGTCAGTTCCCACCCAGTATCTAGTGTTTGTAGCCTGAGCTGCTGACACCAGATATACACTAATGTAAAAGACGGAGCTGGAGTCAACACAACCTTGTGTACATTCTTACCCAGGCTTATTGCCTGGAGTGACCTTTACAATAAGCAGTGAAGAAGTCTCAACACAGAGATTTGACCCATCTGGTATAAGAGTGCCCTGAAAGAGTATTGCTTTGTCATAGATCACAAGGAATTGGAAGAACAGCACCAAAAAAAACAACAAGAGTTTGGCAATTTATGTACTATTCGAGAGCTGAATTAAGAATAAAGAGACTCTCTCAATTAATTTAAAAATAAATGTCAACTACTTCACATCTTTCTCAATTCCTGAAGTACCAGAATGGGTTGTAAGCATGGAATCAGTTCCATGTACTAAGGTGGATATTGTCTTAATCATTGTCAGCACTGATTTGGGTCAGAAACTTCTTTCTTCCCTTTAGACAAAAATGATGATAGACATGGCTCAACTGATGGGATTTATGGTCTTCAAAAATGGAAGGCAAAAAATTATATTAGGCAATTTTATTGCCAGTTCAGGAATTACGTTGTTCAATAGAATGCAATGCTGAAATGGACTTGTATGAGTAGAGAACCTGCTAAACTAGAGTCTAAGCAGGTTTTAAACCTGTTTCTAAACACTGTCTGTCATAAGTGGGGAATCTGTGAAAGAGCAGTAATCTTTATTTCTCCTCCTATGCAGTTTGCTGAAGCAAGATACACTTCAGTGGAGACGGATTTCTGTATAATGAAATGAACTGGATTGATACAGAACTCAATAACTGGCTTATTTAACACAGATCATCCTGTCTTTTCCCAAAATGAAATCTGTGTTCAGACATACCAAATTCTTTAGCTAACCTCTCTTCCTTCTGTGTTTCCTGCAAAAGGTATAAACTAGAAAAGTGCCCACAGGCATAGGCAGGGGAAAGGGTGGTCCTGATGAATGGGTTAGGAAGTCTGGAACTGGTAGGTTGGGAATAACAAGAATGAGCTTGAACAAGAAGTGGTGTCCTAGAATCCTGGGATTAGAAACAATCATCTAACTCTACAGTGACACAGCTGGCTTGGAATCACACAGGATCTTGCCTTTGGGTTCACTCACAACAACTTGAAAAATAACCAGAGAAGGGAATGGGCAAAGCTGTGTCACCTGCTGTGCTGGTGTGCAGAATGTACTTTAAACTATAGCAGTCCTTGGGCGTTAATTTTTTTTCAGTCCTAGTTCTTTGCTTGGTTTGCAGGGCAGATGCTCTAGGAGGATACTCTGAACAGAGAAGTGCCCAACTTCAGAGTTCACCTGTATTACATACACACTGACAAGATCGGCAAATACTAATTGGAAAGGTAACAATTGGCTTTAAGTGGAAAAGAATTACATTTATCAGAGTTCTTAAGAGATGTTTAGAGAGACTAGGTGGATTACACAGCTGTCTCGTTCCCAGTGGAAATCTGGGAATTAATCAGAACTGGACCAAAATAGGGACAAAACTGAAGCTACAGTAATTTACCCGGCATGGCTGATCTCAAGTCCAAAAGTGAATGAGTGAGTCTAAGTGATGAAATATGGCTAACCATTAAGTTCTTTTGAAAATTACATTGTCCAAACATTGTATATTGGAAGAAAACTGGATTTTATGTGTCACTGAATCAAAATCATTTTAAAGGTTTGGATTTGAAACCATACAAATTGAGTTTTCAAAGACGTGGGGGTTTTTTGATTGGCTAACACAGTGTCTAACAGGACTGAAATGTGTTGGTCAAAGCTTTCAGACTGGACACATGCAGAAAGAGCAAATCAATTTATAAAATGGTATTACCACTTGCATGCACACACACCAGAGGTAATGGGAGCCTCACTCTGCCATGTTTGTGTCATCTATAGAATTCCAGTGTTTTCACTCTGGATGTGCCTTTTTACAGTAATAATTAACAAAGCAAATTATCTCACACTTATCTCTAATTAAACACACATATCTAATTAAATCATTTTATAGCAAGCATTTGCTTGCTTGGTGATTTTTTTTCATTAGCCTATATATAGATTTAGGGTATTTTTGGATATGGAAGGTCAAATTTGTGTTGCATTGGTAATCTGTGATTGTTAATCACATTCAAAAAGGAAACTGTTGACTATTTTTGAACTATTTTTTGAACTAACTTTTGAAATAACAAGAAATACAGGATCTCAGATGCTGTCACTTAGAATGACCCTAAAAAATGTTTTACATCCAGCTTATATAATATCAGCATAAACTTTCTGTCCTGGCAACACATATCCAGGTTGAAGTTCCACAGAATGCAATGGGGAGTTTTGCTGAACTATCCAGCTCATTGTACCAGATGGCACTGTATGGAAATAACACTGATCCTCTGACTGTGTTGATTTCTAATTAGGTTTCTAGTAATTAATATAGTTTGCAGGCCTTGCGTGAACTCTGCAGATTACCTTTTCATGTAAATGATTAACTGAAAGGGGATTAATCCTGGCATAAAATCAACTAAAAAGAATTTTCCAGCCTGAAAATCTTCTCTACCAGACCTGTATATTGTAACAGAGAATGAAACATTAAGGATGTGTTTGTGTTGTTGAATTTAAGAAAAGTGTAACTCAAAATATCAGAGTGTTTTAAATATCAGCATTGTGGCTGTAAATATACATTTGCTGTGACAGACTTTTTAGTCATGCTTTTTATGGAAATCAAAATGTATATTCAGTATGAGAGTTGGAAAAAATCCTCTTATCTATTGTTTTATAGTAGGTAAGGTAAATTCTGGCTTTGTAAAAAAGTGTATGTTTTAAAATTCTATAGTTCATGTTTAGCAACTTGTGCTGGTATATGCAAGGTTGAAATTCTTACAGCTTCAATAAATCAGTGGCAACGGGCTGTCACACACCTCTGTGCATGACCAGTTCACCTAGCACATGCACTTGCAAGATGGTCCTGTGAAGTGTGCAGTCCCTTCAGGTCAGGCAGAGCGTACGTTTACATGCTAGCACCAGAGTTTCATAACTTTACTTTTTATTATGTTTTAAAGTGCAAAAATTGAGTGAAATGTCAAAATCTTCCTCAACCTTTTGATCCATGAAAAGCCTCACTGAGTTCAGGGGGCTGCTTAAGGGTATTCAGCCTTCCAGTATCTGAAGGGGGCCTATAAGGATACTGGGGATAGACTCTTCATTAGGAACTGTAGTGATAGGACACGGGGTAATGGGTTAAAACTTAACCAGGGGAAGTTTAGATTGGATATAAAGAGGAAGTTCTTTACTCTAAGGGTGATGAAGCACTGGAATGGGTTCCCCAGGGAAGTTGTGAATGCTCCACCCCTGGCAGTGTTCAAGGCCAGGCTGGACAGAGTCTTGGGTGACATGGTTTAGTGTGAGGTGTCCCTGCCCATGGCAGGGGGGGTGGAACTAGATGATCTTAAGGTCTTTTCCAACCCTAACTATTCTATGATTCTATGATTCAGAGACAGGTGTGTTTCTGAATCCAAGGTTTCAGCTAGTTTTGTATGTTCTCATTGCCTCTTCAAACCCCTCCTGTGGTCAGTCTATGGTTGTACATAAATATGGAATAAAAGAATTTGATTTGGCTTTCATAACCCAGTGAAATGTATTTTAAACAGCTGCCTTAGGAGCTACTGTAGGCTGATGGCCTCTTCAAATCAGAAAGTTAAATACTTATTTTGTGGGAAATGACGAGAATATTTATGGACCAAATTGAATCCTCAGGCATGCACACTGATCTCAGAGTAGGGAAGTCTGAGATGAGCTTGCTCTGGGGAAGTGTCAGTGTTGCACTGTATTTCTGAGAGTATAAGAATATATGGAAAATAAGCATTTATCCAGATGGCAACACACTGCTGAGCTCTACCTGGAAGCCCAGGCTGTGTTTCCTCACCTGGGCTCTGCAGAGCACTTCCCACTAGTGACTGCAGCTGCATCCCTTCATTCATCCTCAGAGAATGGTCCTTCCAGCCCATTGTGTGTGAAGTCTTTTCTGAAGGTTTTTGTCTGGCCCTAAAGCTGATCCCTGCTGGTCTGTGAATTGCCCAGGTGTAGAGTCATCATCAAATTAGTGGACGACACAGATACTGTGGTACTAGCAATGTGCCATCTGTGCCAGCTGAAGGCTTCTCAGCTATGTAGGCAAGACTGAATTCTGCTACCTCAGCTATAAGGGGTCAGAACTGGGTCAAAGTTGAAGGATGAAGGGACAGGACAAAGCAGGAGAAAAAGGACAGAGAGAGCTGTGGAGTGTATGGTTTGATGTACATGGCTGGGAAAGATAAGGACAGTGAACCTGGTACTGGAACAGGCCACTTGCTCTTCCCCTACCCTCATTTGGCAGCAGTTCCTGGCACGTGTTCTGAGTCAGTGCAGCCCCAGAGCAAGCCCCCTGGCACTGGCAAAGACGGCAATGGGGCAGTAAGCATTTTACCACCCCTGCCATGATATGGTTTGGTATTGGTATGGGCCAGGAAACTGCCCACTTCATCTAGGCAGCCTGCAACAAATCAGGCCAAGCAGGAGAAGCCCATGGAGGCTGCTGCAGGCAGTGACAGCCATGCAGAAAGGGGAAACAGAGCAGCTGAGATGCATTCTAAGGAAAGGAAGAAAGAATAACAAGGCAGTGATTCAGTCTCCTTCTCCCACAGAGGAAAACAGTAGCTTTACTAGGTGTGAGCAAAGCTGGGGAAGGGAACTGTCTTAGAAGCAAACAAGGGTCACTGTGTTACTACATGCTACAGAATATTAACAATCCCTAGCAGATAAATATCCAAAATCATTAAATTATATATATATATTGGGCCAAGTGACTGCCTGGTGTAACTGTAGTGACTATGACAGCAAGGATGGGTTTAGTCCAGTGGGTTTAGATTCTGTACTGTTTTAACCAGATACTTTGGATTTTGTTTTTCTTTAATGGATAATAAGGGCCATCCAAAACAGAGCTGCTGCTTTGCTTGGGTTTCATTGAAAAGGACACTACTAAAGGGAGAGAAAATCCCCAAAATGATACTCAGTGATTAAGTACCTAGAATATAGGATTTCAGTGTTTGCAAATCCTTTTTTTCAAATGAACTTGTAGCACTAATCCTCTAATGGCATTATTTCTTTGGAATATATGCCGGATTAAGAAGTCACAATGAGGCAAAGTACAAAAATCCACATTAATCTCTCACCAGTGGATACCGGGTGGGATGCAACTTCAACTATTTTGTTCCAAAATTGGTTCTGTTCCTGACCTTGCTGCAGGTCTACACAGAAGGAGGAGCAGATACAAACATGTGTGACACAGAGTACTTGGCAGATGGTCACAAACCATACAATCGGATAGAAAAGGGAAGGCATTTATTGCTTTTAAACTCCAGAAGCTAAACCTGCCCCGTGTTGTCCATGACATACTGCAAGAAGCAGGCACACAGGTCAGCAAGGCACGAGCAGGGCACATGTTCATAAGTATGCCATGGAGGAGACAGCAACCAACACATCAAGGCCCAGTCTAGCAGCTCATGGTGGCATGGCTGATATATTGCATGTTCACAGCACAGCCTGGGCCTATTGCAAAGTAATGCTCATGTTTACAGCCCAGTGCAGCCACCTCCCTCTGGTTATCCTGCTTTGTTTTGGGATATCCCTGCTCCTCCTTCATAGCTGCTGTAAAAAAAGGTGAAGATACGCTTTCTAGAAAGAGGAAATTAAGTCCCTGCAAAACTACATTTTCCTTCTCACCAGATTACAGGGGTGGTGCCGTGGTGCCATGAGGTATTTTCACTACCGTTCAACAGCTTAAAATGGTGAAAGAATTTCTGAATGGGCAGCACATCACCTAACATACTGGTGTCAGAGCATCCAAATTAGCCCACCTGAGACACTGTAACTGGTGCTTAACATGCTTAGGGATTTCCCCAGTTCCAGGAAGTGGAGATTATCAGATATTCCCATTCCACATTCTCATTGAATTGCAGCAGGCTTTGAGTGTCTTGGGCCAGCAGAGCCTGGTACATACTCACAGCATGGGTTGTGAACTACGACTGTGGTTCTGTTGTTAAGCCAAGTAAAGTGGAAAAGAGCTGTCAAATTCAGTGAGTTCCTTACCAACAGAAATGCTTGGGATTTTGATAGTCTGCATAGTGGAAACACCAGAACACATGAAGTGAATTAGCACACAGGGAGGTGATCTTTCCCAGTGGATACAAGTCTGTAGTGAGATGCTAGTTTCAAGAACTGGGACAGGGCAGCCACTCCTGGGTGTCAGAAAACCTTAAAACCGGCTTGGAGATCCTTTCTGTTTGGGAATAGAAATGTGCCCTACATTCCTGCAAGGAAAGATTGTTCATCACAGTAGTTTTGTGCATTTTTTCCTACTGTAAATGTTTGCCAGCATAGTACTAGTCATGGGTGGGAGGATTCGCCTCATATTCACTGTAAGATTTACTTCCCTTAATCTTATCCTGTTGGCTCCTAGCAGCACTCAGTGCTTCATTTCACTCTGAGTCATTTGTACGTTGACACATAAGGGATGCTTTGCAAAGCCAAGAAAAACAGGAACTGCCTTACACAGAAAGCCTGTCCTCAAGAATCGTGTCTGCTCAGCTGCTTTCAAAGGAATCATTAGTTTTGTTGACCAGCTTTATCATTCCCCAGCAAAAGCTCTCCAGTTTGCATATGTCTTCAGTGCATACGTATCAGTGGATGGTCCCTCGTATTTAAGGAAGCAAAAACTATACTGCAGCAGGTGCAAAGGTGAGCAGGAAATGATAAGGGAAATGGAGAGTTTGCCACATGAGAGGAGACTAGAAGAGTTTAGGTTGTTTAGCCTACAAAAGTGAAGACCTTGTGGATTAAAAAGAATCATCAAAACTAAAGAGATTTAACATAAATGTCTGTGAGTATGTTTAATATGGAAATTGTAACATTTGTCATCATGGAAATCAGATTTTAGAGCAGATAGACAAAAGGTATAGTGACAAAAAGTGTACAGTGAAATATGATGTATGTATACATTGTATGAAATGATTACATTGTAATGCTGTATATGCTGTTGCCTACAAATAAATTGTGCCTGATGATGCAGTGTGACCCCCTCCTCCAATGTCTCCTGTTAACATAAAACAGAGTGCGCTGTATCCCCTGTATTCCTTTTTGTTACAGAACTGTTCAACATCCTGCTGACAGCACAGCTTTCCTCACCCTCCAGCAGTATTTCTGACCAGTATGGACGAAAGGGGTGGGAAAACAAAGAACTTTTCTTCAGGTAGTCTGGTAACCCGATCTGTAAGGTGACTCAGCCTCTTCGAACAACAGCTGTTTCGGGGACATGCAGTGGTTAGCACACAGTGTTAAAGTCTGTGCTGCCACTTCCTGGTTTCTGCCTGGTGAATGATCTGAACTGCGGCATGATCACAGCATTTAAATGGACTTCTCACACTCCCCCCCCCCCAGAAAAGAGAGACCAGAGAGAGCAGGCTAACACTGAGAGACAGTGCAAAGGAATAGAGGCATCAGGAAAGAGCCCACAAACCACTTGTGCAGAGCTGCTGCTATCAAACTGATGAAGACAGAAGCTCTTGAAAGAAAACTACATGGAGAGTCCTATGAGGGAAAGAAGTGAAGTTTTGTTTGCATATCATAGCTCACTTCTCCTGCAAGCCTTGACAGTACTGTAAAACGTGAGAGATCCTTAAGTGTACCAATGGAAAAGACAGGTATGTTTCTTTGTTTAAAATAATACTGTTCTACAGCATGAAAACACAGCAGGGTAACCAGAATTGTTTTACAGCTCTGTAAACCTGCATGTACAGCTATGTAGACTGCTTTGTATAATTTTTTACTTAGAAGAACTAGAGCTGTAAAAGGCTATTAAGAGCAAGACTTTAAACAATGCATCAGCTTTTTGTAAGTACCCTGCCCTTGAACACTCATATTGTGGTAGAGAACTCCCAACACACTTAGAAAATTTACCTAAATACATATACATCAGTATATAACCCCACATTTATATACACACACACAAAGTATGTGTATATAAAAACTACATTTGCTTTATTTTGACATTTGCCAACTCTTTTGACATTGACCCAACTCTTTGCTATAATAACATGAAATTACTTGTGCAAGTTGTGGGGTTTCTGATACTACTTCATATGTTTCTCTTTTGGGAAAGTTTGTGCCAGTAACATTCTATATAACTGACTTATTAAAATGATTGAGTTAATGTACTCTATGAATGACAGCAAATTGTGGAATGAGTTCTGTGTGCAGATCTGTACTGGGAAAGGGGGAATCTGTGAGCACAGAAATCCATTCGTGAGCTCTGATGAATCACAGAATTGAGTTCTGAGCAGAGATCATCCCTCTTGGCAGTCAGTGGCACACAGCAGGGCTTGATACATGCCTCTTCCATGTGGTCCTTCCAAAGCAGAAGTCAGTGAATGCCTACCTAATTTTTAAGACTGCTCCGTTAAAAGCATGAGTTTGTGTGTGAATGCTAGAACTAAAACTAACAAAAGAGGATTAAATGAATGTTCAAAGAAAAACAAAACAGTTTCAGAATCACTGGATGATGCTTGTGTAGTATGATCAGAAATAAGAATGTGCATAAATTATAAAATCAAACTTTATATTAGTCACTGAAACAGAGGTTGCTATAGTACTGAACTGTTTCAAACAAGCTATCAGGGGGGCTTGTTTTCTTCTAGCAGTGTCACACTCTGAATGTTCATAGCTATGACATCTGGTTGTTTTCAGCACTATCGCTTCAGCTTTGCTCTAAGGTTAATGGGGTTTTGTTTGCATGTTCCACCCTGAGCTTGGGAGCATTTGACATGATTCAGGCAAGGATGTCCTTGTACTCCCTCTTGCACACCTCCTCCTCCTCCCACCTTTGTAACTGCCTTTGGCAAGGAGAATCACTTTGGTGTAAAACTTCACCTGGCATCCTCTCACAACAGGGACATCTCAGCCTTGCTTCTTTAATGTGGCCACAAGACTGTGAACTAAACATGGGGATTCAGTGGTAGGAGAAGCAGCAAGTTCACCCTTCACTACTTGGTGGCCAGGTGGGGTGGCCTTAGGGGCTTGTTGGCACTAACCAAGCAGCAGAGAGTGATACCACTGAGAACTGGGACCACTGAGTCTGCTGTATTAATACTGAGTATTACAAGTTCCTTTTGGAGGGGGAGTTCAGAGTCTGGTCTACTAAATAGTGCTTTTTTGATATTAGCAGGGAGGGAATGGTAGGAAATTCTCACTGCATCTGCCGCTGTGAAAGAAGGTAAGCAAGAGTAAATGTTCCTAAAACTAATACTTTCTGTGTCTGCTGATCCCCTGAAAGATGACATGCATAGCTGCCAGGATAAGCATGAAGAGGAGATCCCAGAGAGTTCCCCGTTTGACTTTGTTATGAAACAGCTCCAAAGAAAAAGGTCATCTCCTGGAAAAAGAAAGAGCAGCCTTCAGCCATGAAAAAATTCTTCAGGGGCTTTGACTTTGGGAAATCTGAAGGCAAGGACAGAAGGGAAATTGAAGAAACAAAAATATACAATTCTGGAGCTAACGATCAGAGTGAGAAGGAAGATCTCTCTGCAGAAGGTAATGCCAGTACAATAATGGAATACATGTTTTATGAAATACATATTTCAATTTCATAGAAAATCAGTTGTTTTTCTTGCAAGCCAGAATCCTGTATTTTGCTGTCTACAGTTTATCCTTAAGCTAGGATTTCCTTCTGATTGGAGTATTATGAAGAATATACCCTCAAATTTGATAGATGCCAAGCAAGGAGTGAGATCCATGTTGCTGAGGAGGAATAAAGCTTTTGGGTGACCTCTCTCTTGATCTCCAATGTGAAAGATCAGTGCTGGAGTCGGCTCATTAGTTACAGAACTTACTTGGTTTCAAAGCCAAGAGTTGAGCAGTAGCTTGACTTGTATGTGGGATCACTCTCTGTCCGCCCTGCTGCTAAAGTAATCTGAAGACAACAAGAGCAGATGTTTTCTACCACTTGACATTGGTAAGGGGTAGGGAATGGAAATTCATTGTGTATGTGATTTTGGGCACACAAGAATACTGTTTATATCCACACTAGAAAAAATGAGGCTGTTTTTAAAAAGGAGCTGGAAGGTGATGCTTAGAACCCCATCCTTTGTCCTAAGAGTTTTGGGTAGGTTTGGGCAACCAATGAGAGGATGGCTACTGGGAGTGGGATTGCTATTTCATATAAATTTTTGCTGCTTTTTTCCAGTTATAGGCATTAGATGAAATTACTGATTTGTTAAAGAGTTTATCAATGAATGCAAAGGCAATTTTCCTTGCTGTACAACCTGCATGAAAGAAGAAGGTAAGCAAGGGATGCTTTGCAAAGCCAAGAAAAGCAGGAAATGCCTTACACACACGATGAAAATTAACACAGGCTATCATCAAGGCAGCAGCAGGTTCACCACACAATTGCAGGGCCACTTGGTGCTAACTTATCAGGGCATATTGCAGCAGTGGGGCTACAGTGCAGGCACAGAGAGGTGGTTGTATGACTTGTGCATCCAGAGTAGCTGCAGTGCAAACTTTTGCATGGATTTCATGTCCTTGAACTGCGGGTGTGACCATCCAAAGTCACTGGCATAAAGGTAGCGTGAAGACGTGCAACAGGACATTCTTTTCCCACTCTGCATCAGGAGCTTTGTAGTAATCTGACCTAGAGTGACCTTATCGCTCAGAATATTGGTCCACATTGATCAAAAACAGATCCTGTTTTACTGACAGATTTAGTTCATTTCCTAAAGTCCTTACCTGACAGTCACAGGTAGGTTTTACACACACTGTTAGTAGCAGAAATAACCAGGACCCTATTTCTTTGTTACTCAGATGGAATTTCACATCTCATTTCTGAAGCAGAGTCACCATCTGATGACCAGATATTTAACCAATTCATGCAGAAACTGGGGAAGAAACCCAACAGCAAGAATCTGGATCTAAATAATTGTGCATTAAGTGCAGCAGATGTAACAGAGCTGGGTAAATACACATTTTATTCAACTAGTCACTTCATACATTTCTTTAATTCTTATTTGCCTATTCAGTTATTCACTTTCCTCTTTTCCATTCCCTTTCTTTTACACAGGCCTGGCTTTATTTAACAATTCATCTGGTGGTCCCAGGTCCCTGAGAAATGTTAATTAATAAGTTACACAAATTATGTAATATATATATAAATATAAAATCAAACAAGTCTGTGAAGCAGACTCATGTCTTTAACACTCAAACTACAGATAAGAAAACTGAGATACAAATTGTCATGGCTTAAAAATGCTGTATTTGTTGTAGAAAGCATCTTTGTATTAAGATGTATAAACATCCAGAGTGTGCAGAGAGCATGCAAAGAGAATTCCTTTTTCTTTTCTTTTTTTTTTTTACAGCTTCTTTACTGCCCTTTCTCCCAGAGCTGGAAGAAATCAGGCTGTCCTGGAATGGTCGTGTTGGTGGGACTTTGAAAGCTCTCACTGTTCATCTTCATCATGTAAACCTGTTAAAAGTCCTTCAACCTAACAACTGCAGACTAACAGCTGAGGATGTCACCTCCTTAGGTACAGGATTTCATTTACATTCACTTCAAGACAGCTTGGGCCTAACATAATCCATCTCATCTCTTCCTACATCCCACTCTTGCTGCTTCCACAAAGGACAATGTAAACTCCTGCTCTGAAACAGTAGAAAGAACTTGAGTTTACGGGTCGCTCTGCCAAGTTCATTCCTCAGGGTATGAAGATTTCATATTCAGAAGGGAACAGAATTCAGTCCTGTTTGCAGGAAAGCATGTTTTCAATTCCAATTAGTGTTTTGTTTTGTTTTTCTATCTTTGATATCTAATGATAGAAGAACTGAAACAGAGTCAGTCATAATAGGGTCACCTTAGGCCTTCATGAGGCAGGACAGATGAGTGCTCATCACAAAAAAATGTTGATCTTTTGGAAGAGACTTAAAACCAGAAGTGCTGCTTGAAGCTTATGACTTGTTTTTGCAGGCCTGGGAGAAGCTTATTCCCTTGATTACTTCTTTGCTTGGAGTGCCTGCAACCCTGCTTTCTGCAAAGCATGAGATTTAAAAGTTTTAAAGGTAGTGTTATGCACTCGTGTTCTGACACTGAGTCACCTCTGGGCCTGGAGTTTGCTGTGGGATGTGTCTGTGATACATATCAAAAAGGAGGACAGACTCAATCAACTGGGAATTCAAAAACTACTGCTTATTTTGCGAGTCCTAAAAGCCAGTCTGAGTTATAAATGTGGGGTTGTCCTGGGTTCAGCAGTAGCAGTCATTTTTCTCCTTCTTGGTAGCTGGTTCAGTGCAGTGTTTTGACTTTCGGCCTGGGAACAGAGCTGATAGCGATGTTTTGGTTTGGCCAAGGACTTTGTGAGCCTCATGCTCTGCCAGGGAGGAGGGGAAGCCGGGAGGAAGCAGAGACAGGACACCTGACCCAAACTGACCAAAGAGGTATTCCATACCACAGCACGTCATGCCCAGGATGTAACGGGGAGTTAGCCGGAAGGGCTGGGGGACTGCAGGGTTGGAGGAGGTATCGGACAGAGCTTGGTCGGGCTGAGGGGGGTGAGTTATCGGTTGGCTGGTGGTGAGATGCTGTATTCTCTTCCCTTGTTATTTCCTTTATCACTGTTATTATTGGTAGTAGCAGTAGTGATCTGTGTTATACCTTAGTTACTAAACTGTTCTTATCTCAACCCGTGGGAGTTGCATTCTTTTCGATTCTCCTCTCCATCCCTCCGAGAGCAGGGGGAGGGCAAGAAAGGGGGGGGAAGTGAGCGAACGAATTACCTGTCTGGGTTTAAACCACGACAGGGGTTTATGTCATTCATATCTAGGCTTTTTCCAGGAAAGGTTTGGCAATAAAATATGTGGTGGTAGCACACAAGTGGGTCACGCTATCTGCTGGGGACGAAAACTGTATCTCTCATCTCTACAAAAGCTGGTGAAAATAATTATTGGTCCATTTCTGATCTTTGTTTTGTTTTGTGTTTGTTTTTTATTTTCCAAATTTATTTTTATCCTTTATCAAGCCCTTGAGTTTTATTAGTTGCTGGTTATATTTCCAATTGATTTATTCTGCCTGGTTCTTCTCTGCAGTTTCCTTCCCTCTTCTGGCTTGGTCTCTGCTGAGACAGATACAAAACTGGTCATAGGACTTGAATTTCCAGCCAAAATGCGATGCCCTTGACATGTGGAATAGCAACACTCAGTTTGCGTTGATTTTGCCTGCGATTTTGAAAACAGCATGTGCATTCAGGCCACTACTGCCTGTTTGACTATGCTCATATTTATCCGTGGAAATGTGGCCACTTGTGGACTCAGTGCATTTCGCTTAGAAATCATACAACCATAATATCGGCCTCTCCTATGTGATTGCTTAGAGCTGTGAGAAGTGATAGGAAAGCATTCCTGGAGTTGTAGTCCTTTATTTATCTTCTGGGTGGAAAATGTGTCTGGAATGGTACTCCCCATGTCAAACAGAAACAGCCTATGCTGTAGAGGCAAAACCATTTCTCAGCTGCAGAGCATTGCGTAGTGTTCAAGAATGAGGCAATAATTTTGAATAAGTGCAGAAACAGAAACTGCAACATGTCCTTTTCTCTCAGACCTAGATATTCCCTTTCAATAGCAGAAATAATTAGTTTTCTATTATAAAACTTTTGTGAAGAATTAATTTGGAAAACACACAGATGTGTGTTTTATTATTGTTAATATGCAATTCTTAATTGCTAGGTTGATGACAAGACTTCATATAAAAATTTGTGTGTGACACTTTGAAATGGTATTTGCATATGGTCTGATTAATTGATCTTCTTTGGGAATGAGTTTATGCAAATATACACCTGCCTTCCTCCTCTACAAAGGAAGTTAGGAAGCTGGATTTTGCAGTGGCATGTTAGTATTGCAAGGAAGCACTAACACAGTTCACACTGTATATCAAGACTGCAAAAGGCTGTTTTTTCTGAGTGTAAGCAAAATCAGTGCCATCTGCCTTGAAATCATGGGAAAGTTGGTTTTGGTCAAAACCATGCTTATCTTGATTTCTTATGAAGTGAGTCAGATATTCCTGTCAGAAATGAAACTTTTACATATTCAGAAATAGTTGGGAGAGGGCCTTCTTTCATCCCCTCCAAAATGACCTGTGGGAACAGTACAGAAGACATTGGAAGCTTGCCAAATAAAATAGAGCAGAACTACACAGGGCAATAAATTCAGACTTGTCACTTGTATTGATTTTCCTATAGACTAGATTTTCTGGGTCCTGGAAAGGTCTGCAATTATGGCCAGTCTGATGGGGATTTGGCAACCTGAATAAACTCCAGGCCTGTGTGTACAGTGACAATGACTTGTGATCTGTATTGCTCCTTAGACAAGGCGAGAGTTTATGCAACATTGCTGCAGTAGCAACAATCCACTCATATGCCAATTTTTGTGGCAAGCCATCTGAAATACAATAATTTGAGAATGAAGTGACTAACCTTCCTCTTTAATATATTCCGAACCTTTGTTTTCATCTTGCACTGAAATTGATACCTAGAATGAGTCATCTTAAACATCTGTTACAGGAGAGGCATCTGAAATTGTTTCTCAACTTGAAGAACTGGATTTATCATGGAACAGTAACATAGGTGGAAAACTATCACTCCTGACAAAAAAAAATCCAGAAAGGATGCAAGTTAAAACTTCTGAAAAGACTGTACCTAACGACAAAAGATGGAGAATCCCTTGGTATGTGTATTGATCTAGCTGGACTGAGGGTGGCTTCACAGAGATACAACCTGTTCGACTTAGATCATGGCTGTATTGAGCTCAGTATTAGTAGAAAGTTAATTTATTTCAGGCTCTGCATTATAACAGTGTTGCATTTTAATGCACTTTCTTTCAAGGAAGAAAGTTGTTCTCCCTAATCACAGGAGGTATGGTTGAGAAGAAAAATAGCTAGATCTAATCCACAGTCTGGCTGCCTTGGTGGTCCAGGGTTGCTTGATCCTTTGAGACCCTGAGCAAATCATATATGCCAGGATTTCCAACACTGACTGCTTAAAATTAGGTAGTTAGCTGTGGGATGGGAAAGAAGGCCTGAGCAATGAGAATTTAGGCTGAGTCAGCAACCACTGACCATCCCTCCTCTCTTTCACCATAGCTTAATCCTGTGTCATCTTTTGATATGATTCTGTTTCAAAAGATACTTACTCCCTAAAGAGAAGCCTCTATGCTCTCATCTGCACTGTAGCAGATGGTCCTTTTGCAACATAAAGTCCTATATATTTTCATTATAATTTTTTCTTTCTCGTACTTCTGATTTTTATTCCCCTGTATTTTCCTAGCTATCCTTGTATTTTTTTCACCTTTATTTTGAGGCAGATTTTTTCACTTGTTTTCTTTATTCCTATCCAATCTTTGTTTTGCTGTATTTTTAGGTAGAACAGGAACTTAGTAAGTCTAAACCACACATATAGGCAAACCTACCTACGTCATCTTGTTTGCCATGGTGCTGTATTTTTCTAGGGTTCATCTGTATGTATTCCAGACAATTCCCAATTCTGTTCTTCTTTTCTTTTTTTTCCCAGCTGAAATTCTAAATGTGATCCCAAACCTTGAAGTATTAGATCTCTCTATCAACAAACTCATCGGCTGCAGGATGAAGGTTATTGCTCAGGCTCTGAAAAATGTGCCAGGCTTGAAGGAGTTAAACTTGCACATGTGTGGATTAAAGCAAGACAGCCTCCAGGCTTTAGGTTAGACTTTATGCTCAGAAAGACTTTCATTCTGAATAAATTGTACATCTGAAAACCATTTAAGAAAGGCAATGAGGTGGGATTTTGCTGATGGTTTGGCAGTATTAATGGGCAATCGTTATTTGCTGTTTGAGGATTGATAAAAGACTACAGAGACTTTCAGAAGGAGTAGCATTTATCTTCCCTGAGCTCAAGCATGTGAAAGTCAGTGGGGAGAGTCACCCTCCACACCATTTATCTGAGACAGATCTTAGGGTAGATTAGTGGCTCTGTGGACATGCTTCCTCTCTCTCCAGACAGAATGCAGACAAGGCCCAGACACTCTAGCTAACTTTTAACAAGCTAATCCGTCCTCTCAGGGGGAAATCCAAATTCACCATTATCACTTAATGAGAGTCCAGTGAAGCCATATGAAATGGGCTTATTATGTCTCTCCCTAGTGGAGGTTTTATCCAGAAGACAAACCAACTGCCACTAATTAGCACATCCAGTAGTAATTTCAGCAAAATGCTGAGGATTGACTGGATCTGGGGATGAGCTGGCCTCACCTTCACCTGCTCTTTCAGAGAGGAGTGGAGTTGCAGAGATGGGGAAGCTTTGTGGTATTGCTGTATGTCTCCTGTGATTATACACTGAAGCTTAGTCTAAGAGCTTTGCCTGCAATACCTTGTGCAAACTTTGACGTTGAAGTAAATAAATAAATGCTAAAGCTGTGACCTGTGCTGTTGTGGCAGCCGGTGACCAGGATGCTCCCTTTTCCATTTCAGACTCCGCCTTACAGCACCTTGCAGACCTAAGGAAATTAGACATATCATGTAACAAAGAGACTGGTGGTGGCTTTAAAGACTCAACAGCTCATTTGGCCAGCTTGAAAAATCTCGAAGTCCTTGATCTCCACCAGTGCTGTGTAGCAGAAGAGGACATGATCATTTTGTGTATGAACATATTGAGGAAATCCATTAAGAATCTAAGGTTTGACTTCTGAAAGCCCTCAAAGGTGTAAGAGATTCTGCCTAACCTAGTGAGCCAGTTAATTTTTCTGTGTGCATTATCACAATATCTTGACATTGTTTTTTTTACTCTTTAGAACAATAAAATCCCATGACTCAAAGCCTATATTGCCTACATCTTATTTTCCATAATAAAGAAGATAATTTGAAAAGCTACTGCTGAAGCACTGGGAAATACTATTAGTAATAGCAATCATAATTTATTTTTAATCTATTGACTAATAGAAAATAATAGCATTAATACAAAGGAGTTTCAGTTAGCAGCAAAGACATTTAGAAATAACCCCCATCTCATTTAATGTTAAATTCCCTACTTCACCTACAAAATTTCAAAGGAAGCTGTGTTCTGACAACCTTCCACACAGTATGTAATGCCTAATTTCTTAAACATTCCTACTGAAAATAAAAAGGCTTTTTATGGACTAAAACATTACTCACCATAACTTTGTGTCAGAATTTGGCCTTGACTTTTGGATTGATTTATAAAGAAGAGAAATTATGTCAAGCAAGTATACAACTACATATTTGGTTTGGATTGGAGACTGTCTAATAAATATTTCATGTTTTCACAGCCCAGGTGATACCTTTACTCTTCAGTCTTCAAGAGCTGAATTTATCCTCAAATAAAAATGTAGGCGTCTCATCAGGACTTCTTCTGGGCAGGCTCAGGTTTTTACCGAAGTTGAAGTCTGTGGCCATCAGCAATTGTGGTTTAGGTGAAGAGTCGTTTTCATCACTAGGTAGGAATGGTTTTTTAAGGAGTGTCTATTCTCTGTGTATCCTTGTGAGATAAGTACTTCATTCTCCGCTGGCTGAACTCCAGAGATCATGGCTACATTATACCACAGGTCCCAGCTGAAAAAGCCTGTGATGAAACCAGTGTTTCATGGGACCCAGCTGCAAGGGAAGGCCATTGTGTGTCTTCCCCCATGATACCTGACTGGATGAAGTGCTTTTAGTCTTTTGTCTTATAGTGAGCTTTTGTATTACTTCCTAATTTGGGAAGAGAAAGGAAAACATGATTTTATATTATGCTGTAATTATAGTTTGATTGTAATACTGCATTTGCAGTTTAATGGGGTAAAGTTCTGACTGAAGGTTTTTCACCTCACTGCTGGTGAAAGTTTCAGCAGAAACTCTCTGGAATAGAGTTAAGGATGGGGCAGTGGAGGAACTGAAGTAATGGCTGCATTAGTACAAAAGAGACTGCATAGCTATGAAGAAAAGTCCAGTCTAACATGGGACATGTAAATTCAGCCTCTTTTGCCTACTTATTGCAAATCCCAGTGGATTAGTGGCTACTGTACTTTTGATAGGTGTTCCATATGGCACATGAAATCTAAGTACCCCTAAGAGGGATCAGTTAGTTACCACAAAATGCACTTACATTTTGTACTGTTTACTAGTGACATTGAAACCTGTAGTAAAACTTGACTGCCTTCAGCAGAAGCAGTAGCAAGCTAAATTGGTCTGAGGTCCCTGCAGGAAAAGTACTATATTTATATCATTACAATTATGTAAGAGTGACATCATGGAAATTGGTGTTGTCAAAAGATACAGAGCATTTCACCTTGCATGGTGAGTTCACAGCAAGAATTTGCTGTCTTTAAATCGATATAAAATGGTTTAAAAACAAGCTGTTAAGTTAAATTGGCTTCAGTGGGACAAGGTCAAGCCAATAACATAAAGACAAGAAACCCCTCCACAGAGTTCTTATAGATTCTGTAGGCAGGCCCTTTTTATATTCTTTATTCTGACTTTTATTGGGATGAAATAAGTCATTCTCAGCACAAGTAGGCAGCCTGTTAGAAGCCTATTTACAGGTGAATTGTTGGTGAGTTGTCTATTGAAGCTGTGTTGTTTTCTCTCAGTAAGCAGAAGTTGCTGGTCTTAATCTTTTCAGCTGAGGCTGCCCTTCACCTTCCTGAACTGGAGATATTAGACCTTTCCTGGAATAAGTGCGTTGGTGGGAACCTAAAGCTGCTTTTGGGAGCACTAAAGCTTGCAATGGAGATTCAAGTGTTAAGACTGAGCAGCTGTAACTTGGTGGATGAAGATTTGGCACTTCTAAGTACCTATAACATGGTATTTACTAGCAGTCACGGAGCCAGGGCATTCAGACCACAATTCAGAAGGGACTTGTTCTATGGGCTGAGCATGTTTTTGCACAAATCAAATGAAAAGATGGAAAATTAAGCAGTATTTTACCCAGAAAGGGTTTTCATTTTACTGAAATCTGGCTGTCCTGTACATTCACAGTGCAGAAGTGCAAAATACAAAGAATCTTTTAGTAGTTTTAAATATTAATACAAAAAGGCAGCAGTTGGAAAATGTAGGGTTTGCACCTGGTTTTTATATCAGATATTTAAACTGCCTCTGAGGAGTTTTATTTTGTTCAGTTGCTGGCTTTGTGTCCAGTAATTTATAGAAAATGTACATGCTCACAGGCAGTAATACAGGCACTATTAGCTCACAGTCCATTAGGTGTGTTTCAGGATGTCACACTATTGTGGAAGAATCAAATCAGAAATACTTTTGCCCATCTCTTAGCAGCTGCTGAAAAATACTGGAAAATGGAAACCTGATGATGGGATCAATTCTGGGATCCCTTAAAAACCTATTTATTTTATAATCATCTTTGTGATTCTGTGGGCCTGACTCATGGGGTTTGAGTGTCTAAGACTGGCAATAGCTGCGTGGCAGTTATTAAGGCCCTGTAATCTGAAGGCTAGTGAGATGAAGCCTGAATATTTGTGACTTTATAAACACTACCCTTGATGGGTTTCTCCTTTGCCAATGTACATTAGGGATCCCAGTTCCCTTTAGGGTATATTGGGACCATTACCCTCCCACAGTGAGAAGCGGCTGTTGTAATCACACAGCCTCATCTAGTTTTGCTTTCCTCTTTCTAAATCTTAGAATCATATAATGGTTTGGGTTTGAAGGGGCCTTAATGATCATCTGGTTCCACCCCTCCAGACACAGACAGGGACACCTTCCACTAGCAACTACAGCAAGTTGCTCAAAGTCCCATCCAACCTGGCCTTGAACACTTGCCCAGGCATGGGGCGTCCAAAATGGCTGTGGGCAACCTCTTCCAGTATCTCACCCCCCTCACAGTAAAGAATTTTTCATGTCTAACCTAAATCTACCCTCTTTAAGTTTAAAAACATTCCCTTTTGTCCTATCATACATGCCCTTGTAAGAAGTCCTTCTTCAGATTTCTTGTAGGCCCCCTTTAGGTATTGAAAGACTGTTATAAGGTCTCCCCTGAGCCAAACTCTCTCAGCCTGTCTCCATAGAAGAGCTACTACAGCTCTCTGAGCATCTTCATGGCTCTCCTCTGGACTCACTCCAACAGGTCCATGTTCCTCTTGTGTTGGGGGCCCCACAGCTGAACGCAGTACTCTGGGGGGGTGTCTCATGAGAGCTGAGTAGAGTGGGAAAATCCCCTCCATCAACATGGTGGTCCTGCTGCTGGTGATGCAGCCCAGCATATGGTTGGCTTCCTGGCCTGCAAGTACACACTGCTGGGTCATGTTGAGCTTCTCATTAACCAACACCCCCAAGTCCCTCTCCTCAGGGCTGCTCTTGATCCATCTCTGCCCAGCCTGTAGTTGTCTCCCTGTAAAGCCTGTCTGCCTATTTTAATTAGCACTGCATACAGTTTCTATCCAACTGACTCAAAGGTTTTCAGGTTGTCATGCAATTTTAACCCTATACTTCTGTTCCTTTTGAATTGCCTGTGTTTTAAATGTTGTACACTCCTTCAGCTGTGATAAAACAGTTTTTCTGACATCAACAGCATGTGATTTAATGTTGCTGAGGAGTTGAATCTTGCTGTTTGCTGAAAAGTCTTAAATAATATGGTATTAAAATACTACTATTCTTACTTACAAGCTTTTAAGGCAATTGTGAGGATGTATTAGTTGTGTTTGTGCCTGTAATTTCTTGCAGCATTGCTGACGCAGGATGGTCACCTAGCCAGATTACAGAAGCTGGATTTGAGTTATAATAACAACGTATCTGACGAAGGATAGGTCATATTCTGTTGAGGCTTAACAGTATTCAAAGAACTCTCAGAGCTGGATGTCAGTCTTTGCCCATTGTCCTGCCGTGACTGTGGGATGTGGTTCAGTGAGTTGTTAGCAGCACTGACAAAGCTACCTGCCTTGGCAGAGCTGAGGATGCAAAGATGGGTCCTTTCAGAATTACAACGGGAACAACTGGAAAGCTTTAATCAAGACAACAAAAGAAACATTCATTTTAACTGTTGATGGAGGTTGAAGGCTTCTGGAAGGCCTTTCACAAGCAGCACATGAACCAAGTATTATGTGTCTCTGACTTAGAAGACAGCCCAGGTTTTAGTAATCTCGTCTCATAAGAACTACTGGAATAGTTCCACAATTACAAAAAACTCATTTAACCTTCTGCATGCACAGATTATTCCATTTAATAACATACTCTCTCAGATTCTCTGGGCCATGCTCACACTACTATATATGCTTAATCTTTGTGTTGTGAATACTGCAGTGACTACTGTCAAATGAGCAACAATGATTTCAGATGGACACACTGCAGGTTTGCCAAGAGCAGGAAGTGGCTGGGGTGTTTGCTAATGCAGGTGGCTGAGCAGTGTGAATGTGGCCTCATTTATGTAAGAAAAATGTCTGGAAATACTTGAAACCTCTATGTTTTAAATTTTAGTCTCTTCTCCCCCAAAACTTTTGCCTCTTTGTGAATCTATAAAATTGTGAGATTTGGACAGCATCCCAACAATTCAGGATTATATATTAGTCCAGTAAGGAAAATACATAAGGAGCTGATCTTCCTCTGCTCAGCCCTTGATGCCATCTCATAGTGTAGATGAGTCCTGTGTACAGAATCAACATAAAATCAAGTTGATTGGTGTCTTTGCAGGTCTCAGGGACAAGGGAAATGCTGTGGTAGGTTAAGTGAGAGAGCTGTCCTGCTACCTTAGCAAGGAAGTTTGTATACAGAGCAATCCAAAAGCATTCTGGGTAAGGCTATGCAAAGACTTCAGGAAACTTCAGAGATGCCCCTTCTCATCCTGAGCTGTTTCAGACTGCACCTTCTGTACAGACCCTTTTATGACATGCAGCACAAAAAAAAAAAAAAAAAAACCAAAAACCAAACCATACCCAACAACAACAAAAAACAAACTTCCAGATATAAGAGTCTGATCTACAGCATATGAAAGCCAGTGGGAGTTCCCACAGTGCCTTCATGCTTCCCACATTCAGGATTAATCCATTAACCTTCAGAACACCTTGTGACATAGACAATGTTCTTATACTTACCCTAAAGATGAAGGAAATAGCAAAGTCTATTACTGAAAGCCACAGGGCATCTTCTAGCTAAGAGCAGAGAGCCCTGCTCTGTGACCAAGAACTGTCAGAAAAAGCACCAACTTGGGATGTGTAAGTGGCTCCTCCTTTTTTTTATTTGATAATTTATTTGGCGTTTTACTGTATTTGCTTAAACCGAGACAAACTCTGGCACAGTCACTCATGTCATGGCGCATGTTAACCCACAGGTGAGCTCAAAGACTGCAGTGGGATTATTCATTGGAAAGGTATTTTAGGAAGTAAAGATATAAGATCTGCCCACTGGGTGAGGAGTCTTAGAGAAATCCCAAGGCAGCTTGAGGGATAAAGTACTGCTGAATTAGCTCTGAGTATATCTACATGCTTCAGCGATCTTGTGAAGGAGAGGCACAGAGTTGCACTTTCCTAACTTGCTAGGACCCCTCTCATGCAGATGTACATCAATATTCAGTCTGGACGACCCTTCTGACATCAACTTCTGGCTGGTCGGAATTATAACCAGCAGCTGACCATGCTGTGATGATACCTGTTGATTGTTTAAGCCATAATTTCGTGTGAGGGTCTCCATGGACTTCCTGGTTCTGGTTTCAGTTCTACATGAAAAGTGTGCTTGGCTCCCGCAGCTCTCAGAAACATGAGGTGAACTGGAATATCTTGGTCAGAGGTAGCAGGGAATTGCTGCAGTATGGGATCAGTTATTTTCTACAGAGATCCTCAACTTCTGAAATGAAGCAAAGAGCCCCAGTTTCATACAGGGCTAACAAGAGAGACTGTCAATCAGAAACTTAAGCCAGGAGAGTTACTCTAATGTGGAAGTACCATCGTTTCTGTTTAACAGCAGGACACCAGCCTCTTTCCTTGATCACTTGCTTTTCTATGCCTTTCCTTTTCTATACCTTTCCTCCCCAAATCTGCCTTTAGGCCAACTGGGAAACTGATGCTTTATCTGCTCTGTGAGAATCCCTGAATCACAGCTTTCCCACTTGAACCTCTCTCTCTAATTCAGTAAAGCAGCTGACCCATGTTTAATATCTGAGATTTCTTGTAATCTTACTGACTGGACTTCAGCATTGGGGTTTCTTGCTGTGAGACATAGTTGGGTCCTCATTCTCAGCTCCAAAGCACAATATGGACTGTTCACAACCTCACCACTTGCTGTTCATGATCCCTTTCTCGGTCCTTTGCCTTCTCAGTCTGTCATATCTATTGTGCCATTAAAAAGGTTTTATTAAAGCACTTCTATTAAATGTCCTGTCTATCTGCCAGTCTTCCTGGAAATCTCTTTCTTCCCATGATTTCCTCCTCCGCAGCCTCAGAATCATTCTTCTCTTTCTCTTTGCCTTCACTGAGGATGAAAAAATTTTGTAAGACACCTCCAAACAATCAAACCAGCATCAGTTACCTAATAAAATGGAAAATCAAAACTGAACCATCCCACTTTTCTGCACGCCCAGCTCTCCCCTGCCAGCAGGCGTGTTAATGATATTTCGGTATCCACTGATTCAAGAACCAAACAGAAATAAGGTCCATATCCTGGGTGCAGCATTTAGAAAGCACTACCTGGAGGTGGCGCTCTAGGAAGAGCTGGGTCTCAGCCTTCCTTCACCACCTCGTTCCAGATGCCAGCACCTTCTCTAGGGCAACACCTTCAAGGGGAGGGACAGCAGGACTGCAGCTCTGACCACCAGTTAAACTGAATAAAGAGGTCTGCTCCCACCCACTTGTGCATTTTAAATCACGGTGGCGGATCCCGGTGCTTCTCTGTGCTTTATGTATGCTGCAAATGAAATTCTGGAGGGGTTTAAGGAGTCATCGAGCAATACAGAATAAAAACTAGAAAAGGACATCAGATGTGTAGGCCAAACAGCTGTAAAGTGCTGTGGGAAGACATGGCTGCATATAAATTTGGCATACTAGAATTTAATAAGGGGTATATGTCATGGTTATTTTGAATAACAAAGGCGTTATGACATGGCAGGACCCAGAATCATTGCTGAATATTGCATTTTGCAGACTCCCTGCTTTAAAATAAGCCTGTTGTACACGGGTGTTTTACAAACTGTCACCAAGCTACCTCAGAGATGAGCTGTGACACTAAGGATTTGACAGCTTGCAGTCATTCAAAATACTGTTAACTAAAGACTGTCAAAACATCAGATAAGAGTTTTGCAGAAGTGTAGGGATACTCTCAAAACACCTTTTTACACCTCAGTTAAGACAGGATGGAAAGGCAGGTTCCGGCAGAAATGCATGTGTTCTGCCTGCCTGGAATCATCCTTCCAAACAAATCAAATGAACTGCAAATGTTAGTGGTGTTAAAGGCATTAATAATACTACATCCATTTTTAAATTGCCATCTGCTCTGTTTCAGTTTGTGGTAGAATCACAGAATGGTTTGGGTTGGAAGGGACCTTAAAGATAGTCCAGCTCCAACCCCCCTGCCACAGGCAGGGACACCTTCCACTAGACCAGGTTGCTCAAAGCCTCCTCCAACCTGGTTTTGAACACTTCCAGGGATGGCAGCCACAACTTCTCTGGGCAACCTGTGCCAGTGCCTCACTACCTTCACAGTATTGAGTCTAAGCAAATGCAGTTCTAACTTTCCAGTGTACACAAAAAAAAAAAATAAAGACTCAAAACAATGGAAGCAGGCTAGCCAATTGGGATTTCATCTTTGTAATTCAACACAAAGGTCAGTGTTTCCACATTCTTGCTTTCTTCTCCCTGCCTGAATACAGTGATGAATAACCCAGGTTCAGGTGCATACCAGGTGGTACATGCCTTCTCACTGTAGTAAAGAAAGATGGCACACAGCTGTAATGAAGAACTTAGATTTTGCAAAAGGGAGGTATCAATAAAATACAAATTAAAACAAAGGACCAAACAACTCCTGTATCTGATTGTCATCCAGGGCCAATACTTCCAGGATTTCATAGTGCATATTCCTTTAGGAATACCATCAAGGGAGTTGTCATTTATATAAACACAGAAAGGGACAACCAGCAGCAGATCTGGTGGGAACTTCTTCAGGCTGCAAGCAGTTTGAGCAGTCTCATTTCAGTGAGATTCTTCAAACCTGGGGGAAGCTTGTGCAGGAGATTATGAGACAGATCCAGCATAGCAAGCTTCTGGCAGTGTTGCAGTGAAGGAGGAATGGGGGAAAGTTATTAAAAGCTAAAAGTGGCTTAACTGGGTTTGTCAAAAAGCCTCCCTCTTCTGTGATGACACTGATTATATTTTGTACTTTAGATCTATTATTTCTGAATTAGCAATATGACAAAGCTCCTTGGGAAAACTTTCAAATCTTTTTCTGGAGGTAAATTTCCTTGATTTTTTTTTTTTTTTTTTTTTGAGGTTAACTCTTTCTTTAGGCAGACACTTGAGATGATTGTCAGAAGGCCAAGCAGTTCAATGTGATAGAGGTATCCACAGATCTGCACTGGAATTTCATGCCAGTTTGCTTTGTTAAGCCTGAGCTGACAAAGGGACTACAGCTTGCTGCAAACTACAAGAGAGAGGATTGTTACATCTAAGATCAGAGGAGATTTCATCTCCCCCAGTTCTTTGCATATATCTTGTATGTGATTCTGATCCAAGTAGGGGACCTTCATATGCCTCAGGCAATTTATGTCTCTGGGGATGCTTACAATCAGGTTCTACCCTCTTCCAGATATTCTAGACCAGCTATTCCAGATATTCTAGACTCAAGACCCCTGGCAAGACTGTTCAGTTACTTGTTGGATAAATCATTATGAAAAATATCCTCTGTGTGACACGTGTGGGAGAAAGAGCTTCATTCTCTGGCACTTTATTCAGTGGTATTTCTTGTGTATCATACTCAAAACCAACAGAATCAGCTTTGGGCCAGTGACTGCCCCCTGCACTGGCCTCTTGGCTCTACTGAGACTCAGCCATCTCTGCTCTGATTCGGAGAAAACTCCAGGCACAAACTCGCCAACAGAGTTTCAAGTTCACAAGCAGGTATTCTTTATTGCGGCGCCGGGAGATAGCTCCTCCTAACGTGCGTGCCCATATACAGGATACAGGCTATCCTTATATATGAGGCTACACATGAATTACATCATTTTCCAGAAAGTTTCCCACATGCATACAAAAAATGTGATGGTGGTCTTTAAGGGTTGTTTACTTCTCCCAACAATCTTCTGGCAGTCTTTGCAGCACCAGCTTGATTAACATTACAGGCATAGCAATCATCCTGTCCTTCTACTCACCATTTAAGTTTAACTGCTCCCATCCTGGACATCTGCTAGTCCCGGGATACTCCCCAGTAGATGTTTACACCAGTTTAGTGGGTTCACGAACACCACAAACACAGTAATCATCCTGTCCTTCTACTTATCAGTTAGTTTAACTGTGCCCATCCTGGATATCTGCTAGTCCCAGATTCTCCCCATCCCCAGGTCCGGTTTTTCTATTCTGCTTTTCATACACTTTTTGTACTAAGGTCCTAAGGACCTGAAACTATGTCAACTACCATCAAGCACCGCAGTTATTTTCCATTACAAAGCCATCGAACTTAATGTTACTTGGAACTGACTACATTGTGCTTTTGTGCCTCCTTGTCTCAGCTCCGTATTTCTAATTCCAGAAGATTAAAAAAACGAAAAATCACCAGTACTCAGGGACCTTCCTGTGCTAAGTTAAGTACTGACAGAATTCAGCATTTAGGGACTGGTTCCAGTCTCAAGCTGTGCCCCTGCAAGAAGCTATTTGTGTTCTTTGATCAAATCTCGCAGTACATACAGCAGGACCGTTATCTTTGAATCCCTTCATGTGAGGAATGTAGGAAATGTCCTCAAAGACTGAGGTCAGACTCAACAGCAAAGCAGAAATCTATTAAACGTTTTCGCAAAAACAGGTGCCCCAGTGAGGAGAGCTCACCCTGCTTACAGCCTTCTTTTAATCCCTACTCCAAACCGCAAAGTCCCTCCCTTGTTTCCCTGCTGGTTAGGTACTCAGAGGTTTACAGCCTTATCCGAAGCGCCTAAATTACTCACGTGAAGTCCTGCCCCTGTTTACATTTCCCACTACTCTATTTCAGGCAGCTCTTCTTACTTACACGTGTGCTCTTACGGTATAGTGGCCTACTTCCTCCGTCCCTCCCCATCCCTCCCCCCTTGAGCTTGGTTTCAAGTATCAAACCTTGTTCTAGCCCTTTTATTGCTCTGACTACAATGAGTTTCGGCTGAAATTTCCCGTCTATGTGCCAGCTTCCCCTTTGTCTTTTATTAGCACGCAAGCTATACTTAAAAGGCTGTAAAAGCAACGCAGGGGTATTTCTTACAAGTGCATTCGGAAGTGTCCCAACAGCCAAATTCAGAGAGTGAACTTGTGAAGTCAAGGGAGCTGGATAAAGCAATCTCCTTGTGTCTTGAAGGGCCCTATTTACAAACCCTGACATTTCTTCAGCTATGCTGATGGTAAAACTGGGAGAGTCCTGCTGGAGAAAGGTGGCACCCTGAGCCAGAGAGATGCCAGTGAATCTGGTATTTGACAATCCTCAAAGTTGTACTGTTGCCAGCAGCAAAAGAGCAAGAGGTGGGAAGGGAGAGACCCGATGTCTGGATAGAAGAAATCTCTCACTGGCATTTAAGGAATGCTAGGAGAAAATAGAGGTCAAGAGGTAGCTGACAGTCATCTCCTACTAAATACCCTTTTCTCTCCTGCGGTAGCCATTCTGTGAGGACATCATGTTTTCAGAGATGAATGGTTTCCAGGTGCCACCAAGATGAGAAGGAAGAACTGAGCAACCACCATGGGGGAGACGCATGCTGGGCTTCCCAGTCCAATTCAGATGTTGCACAAGGGTATTTTCTTCTTTATTGGCTCCAAGTTCAGTACTTGGGAGTGAGCCCCAGACGCTGTGGGACAGGAGAGTGTGCAATCCTAGCTTACTCGCTGCTGCGTACAAAGGCAATAGTGAAGCCACTAGCAGGATTAATTTGGTGGAAAGGACCAGCACAGACACCTTTGAAGTAACTGCTAACCCATGCAACCACGGAAACTTTTGCAAAGCCTCCTTGGAGACTGAGGGCAGACGGCTGAGTAAATACTCTGGGGGTGAGCTGATGAAGCACCCCTCCATACAGCGGTCGGGCACCACGCATGCGGCCGCTCTCCACAGTGAGGAGGGGAAGGGTGGCGGTGGGGCGTCATGCCAGGGCCATGGGCTGAGTCTGGCTGCCTTTGCCAGCTCCCTCCTGGAGGGCCTGTCACATCCTCCTTGGAAACAGGCTTCATTACCAACCGTTGTTAAGGTTGGGGCAGCCTGGCTCGCCCGCGGGCTGGCGCAGGGAGAGGGCGCCGGTGTGAATCGCTCAGGTAGGCCTGCGGAGGTCGGGGCTCGCCGCTTTTAGAGGGAGCAAAGGTCCTGCTTGTATGAATTCTAATTGTTAGCTCAGGTTCCTTGGGATGGCTTCAGGAACACATCCACAAATCCACATTTTTCCCGATTCTTTTCTTGTCTGTCTGTATCTGTTATTCATGTGCTGCATACCGGCAGTTGTAACCCTTTTCAGACCAAGCCCAGTTTTACTGTTATGCAAAGCGCAGCACGACAGCGCTTGGGTCTATGGTGATGTTGCTAGGCTGCAATAACGATGCAATAACGCTTTGTTTTGTTTTCCAGCAGGTCATGTCAGTTTGCCCAGATCTTCACCAGCACTATGTGCAGGTCTGCCAAAATTTGGGCCAACCTGAAAACCCTTTCATTGCTCATGTGCTTCAAGAAGCTGATAAAAATGATGAAATGTAAGGAAATAACGAACGATGTGTTTCAGATGCCTCTGAAAGTCTTAAGATAGCAGGACAAGGAGTTGAACAGTGAGAAAGTTCATGCAGTTTCAGGCTGAAACACAAATCATATTTAGCATTTACTGCTGAAGTTCTGGTTTGACTCATCTTGACATCATCTTGGCAGAAGTTTGTAGCTATATATCCCTTCTGGGCAGCTTTACAAGCAGTGAAATCAAAAAAGTGAAAAATGTACAGGATGGTGCCTTTGTGTCCCTTAAAAAAGCCAAAGCCAAACCCAAATTCTAACTCCCTTCCTTTTGTCTACTGTTTAAAAAAGCCTCAGCTGCATACAGTTAGCTTCCCTAAAACGTCTCTGAATCCTGCCAAGTTATTAACTACCCAAATTCTCTCTCATTATGTGTCTAGATAGGGCTTCCTCCCATGGATGCTCCTGGGGTCAAAGTTAATTATCCTTTCTAGAGAAAACCTGAGAAAATACAGCATGGTGAAATGGTTTGTGTTAGGTTTTGATCCTGAGGGCAGGTTAGGGTAAATAAATGAAAAGGAACAAGAAAATAGGAGATAATGAGGTAATCTCCAGGATAGTCTATATTTCCATCTGCCTTCCCCTCATCTTGCTTCTTCCTGCTTTTTGTGCATGTGTGCTAAGCAGCTGTGCAGTGTCCAGATTATCAGAAAGGACAGTGCTGAAGTACAGTTTGAATCACATTGTCTGCCATGGCATTACCAAAGGTCACAGCAGCAGCTAACTGCATGAAACACATCAGCGAGGGCAAGCCTGGATATACTTCCTATCTGGAGAGAGAATTCATTTATCTGTAGCATTTTACTTCTCCCCATGTGCTTACATTTTTATGTTTCAGCATATGGACAAAAGGGTTCACATTAAAAATAGCTGGAAATAGTCATCTAGTGCCTGTGCAGAGAGTTACAGATGACAGTCTTCAAGTTCTTGTCTCTGTCTTACGTACGGCTGCATTTGTCACAGGTAAGCTTTTTTTAATATACATTTAACCATTGCTGTGTTAATATAAGAAAACTTAAGCAGGGTTTGTTTTGGTTTCTTTTTCAGAGATCAGTTCATTGTAGATATGCATCTGTCACATTCTTCGTTCATCTTTTTCAGGTTTGGATCTTAGGTATAATGTATTGACTGATGCTGGAGCAAAGACCATGGCAACATTCCTCCAGGTGCCACAGTGATGTTTCTCTTCCAGCAACTTGTAATTTATTTGGTTGTGATAATATTTGTATGTGCTGTATTGGAGACAAGAGTGCAATTGTTTGGCAAAATTTCAGTACTTTTTACTTTCACATCCAAATCCATCCTACTAAAATCTCAGATTGTATTCTCTGGGAAGATCTTTCATTTCTAGTAGAACACCCTTGGACATCTGGCTAAGGTGTCCAAAAGAAAGAACGGTTGAATAAATTGTGGGGCTTTTAGGCTTACCGTTCAGTTTAACGAAGGAGGTCATGGAAGTGTCAGATGTCCCAGGGCGTTTGTTTTAGATACTTATCACCTCTGTTAGACTTTCTGTAGGTCTAAACATAGAAAACTTTAATGCTGCCTTTTTGTCATTGTAAGCACTGGAATAGAGATGGAAAATGGTGAGTTACCACTTGGTGCCTGTGTTCCTGGAGCTCAGGGTGTGCCATGAGGTTTGCAAAGTGCCTGAAGGTCTGCATCTGAGCTTGACCACCTGCCTCGTTTGGTCATGCTGAGCACTTGGGTTCGCAAGTGGTTTCTGTAAGCACCCTGAGGACATGTTTTTTATGTGCTACATGTTTTTCTGCCTTTTCCTCATCATCTGACACTGGCATTCTTTAACTACTTCTCCAAATCAAGGGCTGTCTGAAATGCAGTAAAGGTCAGAGGTTTTAAGTACAAGTGTGATGCATATCCTCTTTGAAAACTGCAGGCTTGCTCTGGAAAGGAGTCTGATTGCTTTCTGATTTGTTTGTGCCTCAGGAAAGCTCCTCTCTGAGGTACCTGAACCTGATGTTTAATAATATTGGCACAAGTGGAGCAGAACTGATAGCAAAAGCGCTCCATGTGAGTATTTGCCTGGCAGATTTAAACAATGGTATCTCGTTTGATATTTTTGCTTTTGAGGAACTGTACTAGCTGTCCTGCCAACATCAGAGCTGGCTGAAGGGGCCCTCTCTCTTCGGTCCATTCAGTGGTTTACTGTATCACAGGGACTGCTTGTTTTCTCAAAGCAAACTTCAGAAATTAGGTTTCACACAAGAAAACGTTGTACTGTGCTGCCATTAACACTTAATTATCACAACTATCACAGCTGGATTTTTCCAAGTGAAAAATGCTCTGCTGTGGGATATGCAGTGCCATCAATTTCTTCTTTTAAAAGAAAAGAATTGCATTATTTTTACCTGTACCTCGATGTCAGTATTTGTCTGGATTCAAGATGTCTCAGCCATGTTTTCAAAACTCTGCCTTGCAGCAGCATCATAAAAAAAAGTCTGTTATTTTTAATGTGGCTTCCCAAGGAAATGAGGCTTGTGTGCATGATTTGTAGTGTTTGTGAAATGAGACTCATGTGAGCTCGCTGTTCCTCCTTCACAGTCTTTGGACTCTGAACCGACTTCAGCTAAATTTGACAGGCCACCAGAGCACTAAGGTTGTACAGTAGATCATACCGGGCTTGCAAGCAGCCACCAAAGCACTGAGGTTGTACAGTAGATCATTCTGGGCTTGCAAGCAGCCCCCAAAGCTCTTTGTACAGCCCCAGCAGCATTTGCTGGGTTTGCTGAGCAGGCAGATGGCAGGACCTCTGGGCTGCATGGGTTCCTGCTGCCATTGGGCCAGGCAGGGAAGTCTGGGGGTGAAGGTAGGTTGTTATTGAGGGAGGGAGAGGGAAGAAGATGGCTGGAGTGAGGTACTGCATCAGGTGAAGGTGTGCTGGGGACATGTGAAGACCTCAAACCTGTATGAAACTGGGCTTCATTAGTTCTGCTGCTAACAACTACTTGGTTTGTAATCTCTTCCTCAAATGTGATCTCTGGTAATAAGTGATTATAAAGGAAATAAAAATACAAAGCTACTCTGCATTTCATTTTGGGCTTTAACAGTTGAATAGCCGTTTTATATCCATTGAAATTCTATGGAGGGTGAGGGGAAAGATGCTGATTTTCTAGACCTCTGATCAGAACTTTATATTGCCAGTGATGCCTCCACTCCTGCAAAGACTTGCACATTGGTTTGACTCTACTAAGTAGTCCTACTGAAGGTGACCGGCTTCACTGAGCTTCGACTGGTCATGTGCTTTAAAAGCCGATGAAAAATAAAGCAAACTATATTCTTGCTTAAAACACTTACTAGATTTAAATCAGTTTTGTTATAATTTACATTTCAGATGCCAATTCAGGCAGATTTATTTAGGCAGGATTATTTTTGTGCGTGTGAGATTTGTCAACTTGGGAGAAACAAAAGTTCTCAAATATTTGAGTTTTGCTTCCAGACTCTCATGCATTTCATTCCACTGAGGAAAGCCTGAGCCAACAGATTAGTCAGTGTTATCACTTAAACACGATTCTTCTGGAGGGTTGTTTTGTCTTTGTGTGACAGCCAGCAGGATTCACAGGGGAAAGGACAGTGTTGTTTTTCAGGCCGCTTCAAAGGCATTGATTTTTTTTTCTGTCTCCTATTTTTATTTTGTTTAGGGGAATAAAACTCTTCTGCATATGAGAATGACTGGGAACAAAATAGGAGACAAAGGTGGGATGTTCTTTGCTTCAATGCTACAAATTAATTCAACCTTGGAGAAGTTGGATCTTGGAGACTGTGATATAGTGAGTAACCCACTGAAATAATCAGCAATGACCTAAGTCTTTCAAGGATATTACAAAGGTTCTGCACTACTTAATGAGGGGAAAATGCCATCTGTTGACATTGATTTTACATTTTGTGGTAGCAATATATAATATTGCAGTGTGTACTTGGACAAGCATGTTGCATACACCTGAGAAGTCACAACTGATGATGTATATGAGCCACTATGTCCCTGGGAATTCAACTGCTTGGCTTTCACATTTTCTGAGATTTGTTTCTGCTGTTCATTTTTGTTGTGCTGCCTAAGTCCTGTGTAAGTCATGTTGAAGGAAGGACTTCTTATTCCCTGGAGGCACTTTTCCTTCGGAAGTATCCAGTGCACCTGAAAGTAGCCCAGTCCCATAGCTCTGTTGCTCCTATCAGGCTTCAGTCCCTAAAGGACATAAGCACAACAGTGCTGAATTGAGCAGAAAGGCTGCTCAAAATGATCCTGATTTGATCCTAAATAACCTGGTGTCTCCTGGAGTCATGAGCAGGGAGATCGTGAGGATAGGAATGCCTCCATGGACTAAACAGGGTGCTTCCTACTCTAGCCAGTATAAAAACCTGTGGATAGCTTTTAAATCCTATATTCGTTTCCTGGAATTGCAGAATTTGCTCCTAAACTAGAAGGGGGAATACCTCAGGAAGTGTGCTGGGTGTTACGAATACATAAACAAGGGAAGTGTAGCCAGTGTAGGATTTATTTGAAAGCTTAATGTGTTTATGCTTGGTAGGGAGTTCGTAGAGAGTTGGTTTAGAATGAAGGGGCTTTGGGTGCAGACCAGCCTAACTGGAAAATAGCACAAATATAAATCAGTGAGCAAACTAGAAGGAAATAAAAAAAATCCAAATTGGCCTGTATTCTAGACTGTATTCTTTGTACCACATTATTCACATTTAGTGTGAATTTACCTAGTAGATAAATGTTAGCTAAGACTTTTATCATAGACTTCAGGGAAAACACACAAGCTGGTTTTGCTTCATAAATTAGGAAAACCAAAATAGAGGATCAATTAAATGGATGAGTATCTTTGAGATGCATTATTCTTGGTTTTTATTTTCCGAGTTGCCAAATTTCCTAGTCATTTGTACTACTGAGATGAATTCCACTCTATTATTCCACGGGGAGCTGGCACTGGTATTATCAGAAAATACATTGTGTGTCTGTAAGCACTTGCCAGCTGCATTTGTATCTCTCCAGAGTGCATGGGGGCAGAAATAACAGTATTTCTAATCTGAGCCCATTTGATGTTTTTGATCTTCTGACAATCAATTCTAGGAAGTTGCGGTAATGTTAGCTTGATTTATACATCAAATAGTTTTTTTCTAAAGAGTTTATTTTTATTTCCAGGGTGTGCAATGTCTAATAGCAACAGCAGCAGCCCTGAATCAGAACAAATCAGTCAAAGCAATAAACCTAAATCGTCCTTTACTGTTCAGCCAAGAGGTATGTAAGCAGACTGTAGTTTTAGCTGAGGGAAGCATAGTAAAGTCAGTACTTACGCCTTTATGTACATCTGAACTGCATGGCTCTCTGTGTTTCCTTACAAAGTGAAGTAAATTGTTGCAGAAATACTCTTTCTCTCTTTCTGTGCCAAGTTTTGTGCAATCACAGGCTGCCGCGGTTTAACTAGAAGGTTAATTGTTTAAAAATTGCTTTCTTGGTACATACACTTTTGTTAAATCATGAGCTAATGGAAAGGGCTTGATATTGGAGAACCAAGTATTCCTTCTGCTGTTACAGTGTGGAGAGTTTCATGCATAGTTCAGCAAATGGGGAGAAATGGTGTTCAGCAGGAAATGAGAGGAAGAACAAAAGACTGCTATTTATCTCAGCAGTGCAATACCCGCAGCTTAAAGAAGAAAGGCACGCTTTAACAATACGCCATAATCACTGGAATGTGTGGTTGTTTTACTGCGTGAACTTGAAGCACAAATTTAACAAATGAACGCACCTCATCAATGTAAACCCTACTATGCATTTGTTACCCAAAAGGAAGACGTAATCCTTCCGGAACAATCAAGCGCTGAAAAGAGAATCTACAAGTACAGATACACAGAGCTGTGGGGCTTTTGCTTGCAGGCATGCAGCTTCTGCTCCTTGCTTTTCCTGCTGAAGTCTTGGCTGTAAAGCTGCTTCTAGCGGTCGTTTCACCAGACTGGCAGCAATTCTCGGGTGTCTGTGCTATGGACAGTATTTTCCTGCTGGTAGGATAATGAAATTGAACTGTTGTGAAGGCCAGATCTTCCTAAATTCCCACAGTTTAAGCAGGTTTTAGTTGTTTCTTTTCTACTAAGACAGGGCTTGATCTACCTAACCCCAGTTTTAGAAGTCAATTTAAAATACTGCTATTGAAAATAAATACCAGTAAGGGCACGGTCTGTACCTGTGAGATTCTACTAGCCGCTGTTCCTACCTTCAATTCTCTAATTTTCTGAGGCCTCTAGGTTGTTCCCTCATTTTTGGCTCTAAGTATTCACTCATTATTTTCTTATCAAAACTTCAAAATGAACTGAGTCTTACAATGACAGAAGGTATATTTTTTCCTGTAGCAATCCTATTTCTTTTGATGAAATAATAGACTAGCATCATAACAAAGTACTTTTAATGTTAGTGAGGACTAACTCAAACATTCAGTTTAAGAGCATTGACTGGAAGGAAAACTAATTGGACATAATGATTCAAACACTGATGCTTTTGGTATCTGCAGGGATGTATATAGCACTATCAATGTGCATATATCTTTCCAGTATTTTATTTATTTATTTCAGTATAATCCTTATATATTGTTTCCCAGCTATTTTTAATACAATACACAACAATAGAACATTACTGATGACCAAACTGACAGGCTGAGAGAGTTGGGCTTGTTCAGAGAATAGAAATCTTGGGGGAGACCTTACAACAGCCTTCCAGTTCCTAAAGGGAATTTATGAAGAAATCTGGAGAAGGGCTTTTTACAAGGCATATAGGAATATGACAATTGGAGCTGGCTTTAAACTGACAGAGGGGAGATTTTGATATTCAGAAGTTCTTCACTGTAAGAGTGTTGAGTCACTGGCACAGGCTGCCCAGAGAAGCTGTGTCTGACCCATCCCTGGCAGTGTTCAAGGCCAGGTTGGACAGAGCTTGGAAAAACCTGTTGCAGTGGAAGGTGTCCCTGCCCATGGCAGGGGGGGTGGAACTGGATGAGCTTTAAGGTGGCTTCCAACCATTCTATGATTCTATGAAATCTTTCTGGTGGTTGTGAATCTCCCTTTTACTGAAACAAGACTATATTTTTTCTCAAAGTATAGCTTAATAAGACTCAGTGTATGTTCTTAGGAAGAGACCACACTTCATCTAGCTCTGATGTTGAAAAATAACTCTTCTCTTGTGGAGCTACACTTGTGCAAGCATGAAATGAAAAACTTTGGTGTGGAGAGACTGTGTGAGGCTTTGTATGAAAACTCCAGCGTGAGATACCTTAATCTTGCCTGGTAAGAGTTTTTAAGTGACACAGCCCTGACTAACATTAGAAACTCATTTTCTTATCACCTTTTTAAGGAAAAAATGTGTGCATCTCTCTCTTTCAGTAATAAAATAACCAGTGACGGTGTAAAATTTCTGGGAAAACTACTAAAATGGAACCAGACCCTGCAAATCCTAGATCTTAATGCAAACCAAATAGAAGATGATGGAGCCGTCTACCTGAGTGAGGCCTTGGCTTTGTACAACAGGACTCTTCAGGCGTTAGTATTTACAGTTTCCCCAGAATCTGCAGGTGTAAGGAACTTGGGCTTTGCAGTGTCTGAGCTGACATCAAAACTGTGTGCTTTGATGTTGATCAAAATGGAAAAGTCAGGAAGTTCTATACTTTTTGGTCCGTTTTTCCTTCTCGGGGTGAAAAAACCGTGATGGATTGGGTAGGATTCTTTTGCTAAGCATAGGTTTTTCCTCCTATGAGAGATGCCCTGAGACCTGTGCTGGAAGTGAGCCACAGGTCCTCTTAGAGCCCTGCAGCTGGAGGCCAGGCCCGAGATACTAATGTATTTTGTGCAGCACAAGAAGCCTGTGTTTGGTAACTGAATGAGCTAAAGGAGTAAAACACAAGGCCAAGACATGCCGTTCAGCCCCACATGCTAACACCTTGTGTTTACATTCCTGCACTTCCAGGATTGCTCTCTACTCACTTTATCTTTCGTGTACTTTTTTTTTTTATACCTTGTATCCACTGCTGTGTGGCCTGACATACACCTTTTCTTCTCTTTAGGGCTTTTTGGGGCTGATGTTTGGCTCAGCTTTGTAGTAGTTCATCTTACATGTGATTCACAGTTTTTACAGTCGTTCTGAGGGACATGTGGCGGGGGAGGAAATTAGATCTTGTTAGTTCTTTTTGCATCTTTAAAGCATAGGTCCCTGTGGTACACAACCAAAACCAAGCAGGAGCTGTACAGCTTTCAGAATTTTAAGATGATAAGACTCCATGCAGGGATAAGGCACTATATTTGTTGATTCTTATCTTCCATACTTAAGAAAATCCTCTAAGTTAGCTTCTGAGTGAACCCAAAAGAGCTGTAATCTCTCCATCAGGGTGTATTTTGTAGCCGGCATTAAACCATGCCCTGGCAGGATGTAAAAGCTGATCAAAGGCGTTACCTGAAGCCATTAGTTTTAAGTAGCAGACTGAGGAGGTGGTGGCTGCTAGGTGCCTCTGAAAGCCTTCCAGGTTCACTCATATAAAAATAACTGCCACTGCACAAAGATCAAAGCTTAGCTTGGAGAAATGCCAGGGCTTGGGCTTCAAGGCAGAGGAGAGATGAGACCTGGCCACCAGGCAGTCAGCCACTGAGATTGAAGAAGTAAGTAGTGAACAACCTGGTATGGCTGCACCAGTCATGGAAATGGCTTGAGAAATGGTACAAGTCCATAGTCCAAACTGCCTTTAGCAACATGGGAAAGATTTTATAGTAGGACTGGCCTTGATACAAATAAATATTTATTAATAACATATGTAGAATTTCAATATACTTATCAGATATATAATAATATGTAATAATAAAATATAAAATAAGAGTAAATCATAGTTAAACTCTTGGTTTTGACCAAGAGATGGGAATTCTGTGGTTTAGCACACATTTGCACAACTATTTTCTCTGGTTTAGGTTGTCAGTAGTAAGCAACAATATAAGTGGCAAAGGACTTGTAGCTCTTTCAGAGGCAATGAAAACAAACACAGAACTTTCCTGTATTTACATCTGGGGGAACAAATTTGATGAAGCCACCTGTATGGTAAGTGCTTGCTTCTGAACTCCTCTGAGAGGGTTGGAGTTTGTTTATCCTAGTTCATGTTTACAGTCATTGTAAAAATGACAATAATTAGTGAGCAAGATACTTGATTAACTATGGGGTTTATTTAAATAATTATAATATGGTGGTGCTGTAATGAGACTCACCGGACATCAGCATACTGAAATAATCAAATACTCTCCTGTCGTGTGTTATCTTCTAAAGACTTCACTGCAATCAAGAGAATATTCTGTGTCTCATTCTTGGTTTTACTCATTTCAGGCACTTTCAGAATTAATTCAGATGGGCCGCCTGAAACTTAACTGCACAGACGTGGAGCCTTATGAAGTGGATGGGCACATTTACCTTGCAGAGCTCTCCCATGGCCTGCAGAAGCATTACTACTGGACACCAAGTTATTGGGCAGTGACAAAAAAGGATGCTAATGCCAGTCTGGCAATTGCAGCTGTTTCAGAATACTTGTGAGTGAGGTAGCAGCTTGAAGCATTCGGTATGCTTGAGCTTTTCCTGTCTGGTTTCTAGAAAACAAGATTGTATCGATATCATACTTGCTGCATGTTGTTTCTTAGGGTCTTTAGTCTGGAAAGAATCTAAACCTGCTCGAAATGGCATTAAAGTATTGAACCAATGACTTTAAAATTTGTTGATAAGTAACAGCCAATATATTAAGAGCCTACTAATACGAAAATGCATTATTTCTGCTGCAATCATTTCTATTGCACACTGTCTTCTTTGCCTTACCATGACTAGCTGTAGTTCCAGAGTTCCTAGGTGAGAAATTTAGTGAAATGACATGCTCAGAGGAAAACATTTTCACCACAGGAGTGCATGAAGAGTGACATTAGGTATCATTAACAGTAATGGAGAGTAAACCAGTCACTGCCCAGAGGCATATGAAGGGTTTAGACTGCAGCAGTGCAGAGGCATGAAGTGAACTCTCAGCAGCTAACTACCCTGCTCTATTTAGATGACCTTCTCAGACCAAATGCTTCTTATTTAGAAAAGATGCAGAGGCTGGATCAGAGCAGTTGCAGAGCATCTGAGTGGAGTGTCCTGACCACCAGGCTGCTGCAGGTGAAGAGCTGCTGTTGCCCTTCCTGGGCTGTGATCTCTGCCGTTGGGTTTCCATATAGCTGGGAGAGCCCATATGCAATGTTACTGCATCTCTGCAGGTTGGAGTACAGCCAGGCAGATCAAGCTGACAAAATCTTACACCCAGGACTACCGCTGGGCAGCAACTTTACTTGATAGCAAATCAGATATACTGCAGAAGAAGATTCCTGCTGAAACAGGAAGGTTTGGGTAAATCTGTTTGTTGCTACTGTGCTCTACATACACTCTCCTTTTACTTAGTAATGGTGCTTTTGATCTCTTTTCAAGAATAACCTTTTTTTAAACCCAAGTTAAATTAACCTAATCATTAAGCCACTATAATGCTGGGACTTTAAAGCTGGTATTTTGATTAGCTTGCAACTTGTACTTGTTCCTTGTACAACAAATGATAATCACCCACCAACCTTGGTGTCTTTTCTTCCTGTCTCTTAAAAATTAAGAAGTAGCTACGTGGCAACTCTTCTGCACAAATAAGACAACATATACACACAATGGTAGTTAAACATTGTTTAATGATTTGGGTACAGACTTTGTAGAATTTTGGGAACCACTCGGCTTGTTTCCTTCTTCCACCCACTCTGCTCATACCTGTAGAAGTCACTAGATGTGGAGGCGTTCTGTTGTTTGGTTGGGTTTTTTCATTCCTCCCACCCCAGTCACAAATGAGCCAGGCTCTGTTGCTCCAAAAAGCACTTACTGTCATAAGAGGACTTAAGAGGTAAATCCACAGAGCAGGTATGTTTGTTCCATGTACCTGTACAGGGTCCTCCTAACTTGTACTTGTCTTGTTAAGTAGAAAGCCCACACATCACACTGAAAACCCTGTTCTAGAGAGAAGCTTATAGTTTAACTGTGGTTAAACAGGAAAAACAGAGCAATGAGAACAAAAATTAAGGATACACTGAATGTGATTGTTTGAGAACAAGCTACATGCTACAAAAACTTCTAAGTTTAAAAATAATTAGATGAGACTGTATTATCAAATATCAAAGTTGGTGTTTTCATGGGCATTGCTGCACTGGAGCTCTGCAGGTTACATTCCGATAGAGTACTTTCCATACTGAGACACTGATGATACAATTTTCTGCCAGAAAGGCCACTACAACATTCAGATCAAGGTAACTTTTTTCCACACATCTTTCTTTCTCTTGTATTTATACAAGTATTTGTACTGTCTCTGAACCATTGTTTAATAGCAAGATGGTAAGAGCACTCTGCACTATTGACATCCATAAAACTAGCTCACGTTATAGTTTACTTTGATAGTCCTTTGCAACAAAGGGCTGCAGAGTAATTCCCACTGAATTTTGTATAAGCAGCTTCCTGCACACTAAAATAATTATTTGTGCAAAACCCTGTATTGCTTAGAGGCCTATGCCAGCGACATTTATTTACTGCTTTCCTTTCTGTGGAAACCAAACCTTGACATTCTTAAAAGATGTCTCTTGTGTTCTTTGGACGTAGAGAATTTTTTGCCATGTTATTCTGAGCAAGTTATTCTAGCAAGCGTAATCCTGCTCAGTTAACCATTGCTTTAGCTTCCACAGCTTGTGGAAAGGCAGCATTTTTGCCCTAGTTTAAAAGGAAGGAAAACGACTGACCCAGTAAACCAGTGGTACAGTGCAGGTCCCCTAAGTCCTGCTGTGTGCTCTAGTCACCACACCACCTTCTGTAAAATGAAACAATCTAGTAAAAATATGTTAAGATACAAATTCTGATAAATTCACTGAACATGTAGTTTAGAAAAAAAAAGTACATCTTCAAAGCACTCTGTAAAAACCCACCCCCCCAGACACCTCAAAACAAGTGGAAAAAAATTAACCTAAAAGTCATTATATTGGACTGTATTTAGAATAATGTTTGTGTTTAATTCAGTTTGAATAGAACCCAAACTATCTTCTATTATGAGAATTTGGTGCGTAATGTAACAATCCTTGCTGTGTTAAGTGTGCTTCAGCGCGTATCCGTCTGACAGGGTGTTTGAGGGTGGTTATGTTAGACTGCTTCCCTCCTCTTTTTGTGCTACCCCCTGCAGTTACAAACAGGAGACACCAGGTGAGGGAAAATTACAAAACAAGTTTATTAAAGTCTAACATAAAACACTTCAGGCTAAATATGTACAACTCCCTCCCTTCCCAGGGGATTATAAAATTGAGAGTTGAGATATATACAAATAACAGAGGAAAAACTGTATATACAGGAAAGATACTTTAAAAATAATTTAACCAAAAAATCAGTTATTAGTCCTTATCTGAACTTAATTCTGCAAGGCTTATCAACAGCTTCTCTAAGATCACAGCCCTGAAATCCTTAACATGGGACTTGTCCTTCCATACTTGGAACAATTTTTTGAAACACATGGTTTCAGAAAAGTTGTCACACTTTGTGGCCACAGATCAGCAAAACTTTGGAAGTTCAGTGTTGTACAGAGAGCCATTCTCACACACGTATTTCCAAACAGCCAATTTGGAGACTTCAAGATGCAGATAACCTACTCAGACAAAACTTGCACTGATTTCAATGCAAAATTGACTGAAACAGTACTGAAACAGTGGGGCAAATCATGCAATTTTCTCTAAATTATTCCAATTTCCTCTTTCCTTTTGCAGGTAGGTCTCAAGATGTCTGCCTAAAAAGATTCCATGCCTTCCCCCATTAATCCCTTACAGAAATTATCAATACTGTTATAAACCTTGTGCCTCCAAAATTAACTCAGAATCCTTGAGCCTAGGAATTAGATGTGCAGCTGATTTCCATGCATCTGTTGGCAAAAGGTACAGCACAGACCTGCTTCCTCAGGCCCAACCTGAACAAAGGTTGGGCCTGTTTATATATATATAAAATATATATATTTTATATATATACAAAATTTGTCTGTAGGTGTGTTATATATTTAAATATTTATATATAATATTTAAAATATATATAAATATTTATATATATATTTAAAATCTATATTCTAGTAAATGAATACAGTTCATAGATATCATACCTCAGTAGCTGAGATATCTTCATGAAAGATGAGGATAAAAATCAAGACTCTCAGATGGGGACTCAAGAGTGCAGGTCTTAAATTATTGCTCCAAGACAAAACTACAAGCCCGTGTATTCTATTAAGAAAGGTTAAAATTGTTGTCTTGTAAAAAATAATGATTATCTACTTGTCTATAAAGAAAACTAAATGACTAATAAAGCGTTACTGTTATAAGTATCTAAACAAATCCCGTATAAATCTAAGCACTGTATTTTTTTAAAAAAGTCTGAACTCTAAGAATACAGTAATAAGATACAATTTTAGAAATATAAAAACAGTCCAAACAAACATTGTTATGGAATGCATTTACTATGGAGGAATGTAAATATTTTTAACATATTTTTCTTTTCCAGAGCTAGTTCTCTCTTGTGGTTATTTATCCTGGATATCTTAATCTTCAGATACTTTTCCTCAGGTAACAGCAGCCTATCATTAGTTTATCTTCCAAAGCTGTTTAAATATGAAAGCTGTCAGTTGTATGGTATTGTTCGTTTTCAGTATTTATGCGTATCCCAAGGCTTCTGCTCTTGGAGAGCAAAAGTAAAGAAGAACCTTAGGACAAGCTACACAGTTTGCTTTTTATACTGAGTCAAGATCCCAATCTTTGAGATTCTTCAGTTTCAAATGGCAAGGCTAAGGAATCCTTCAGGTGCTACATCAACAACAGAAGCTAAAAAAGGGGGAGGAAAAGGGGAAATGCCAACAAACAGGAAAAAAAAATATCACTGAGCTTCACCCATTGTCCTTTGCCAGCATTCTGAAGGACATTGGCTGTTCAGACATGATGTAGTGCAGATAAGCAAAGAAAAAAGATCAGGCAGGTACAGCAGTAACTGGCTCCAGTGGACAGAACCAGAGATGCCTGCATAAAGAATGTTCCCAGTGAACACGGCTGTACTCCCTGCTGTCCATGGGGGACCTTATCAGCAAATTTGCTGATAATGTATAAAGCATAAAATATGACCAAGAAGCAGAGGTTTAAATTTGCCACATACTAAAATGATCAACAGAAAGAAGCAAAAAGTCTATTACTTTACAGGTACAAGCATGTAGGAAGAGAAAAAATTCTATAGTGATGCTCAGGAGTCAGGGAACCATTTACAGAATATTTAAATGAAATCCTCAAAGAAATTTTTCACAAGTCTGTTTAATTAAGGTGCAGATTAATACTCCATGTAGAACAGTTAAGAGGTATCTCCTGTGCTCTTCTATTTATCAGTGTCTGGACACAAGGCATCAGTGGAAATAAAATGCTAGCACCAAGTAAATAACCAACAAACAGTATCTGTAAATGCATTGTTGGTACAGTATTATGACTCTTTTCTTACTATCTGATGATTACTTAAATAATGCTTACATTCTGTTAATGGCACAAACTGGCAAAAAGGAGT